CTATCAGACGCTCTTCTTTCCAACTAGATCAGCGCACTAAGTGGAAATTCCGGGCCCACTTCGAAGCTCACCCAATTGCAACTCGATACCAATGACGAAGATCAATACCTTGCTGCTACTATAGTGCCATACAGGATTCCTAGGAATTGCTCATTCCGATTGCGAATACGCCTAACGACACATCGATGGGACGTGCACGAGACCTGACGGAACGACCCTAGTGCAAGACTCAATGTCTCGAGACCTTTTTTGAAATCTCGAGATAAGCCCCGGGACTTCTGGGTGACGCTAAATGACCCAAGATAAGCTTGATGGGGCCCTTTCTTGTGCCCACTAGTGCCTACGGCCAGCCATTTTCAGATTGGTCATAGATCGAGTGTGCAATTTGAGTCTCGAGACTCGTTCTAGGCCTCAAGACTTCCAAGCATAGGATGGAACAAGAGAAGCTTGCACGAAAAGACGAGGCTTGTTCCAAAATGGTCTCGGCTTGTCTCGTACCAGTCTTTACATGTGGCGCTGTTCTTGAATTATCTCTCATTCCACTCTAGATATTTACCTCTGGGGCTCTATTGAGAAAGAGCAAAACTTGAAGACCGTGGGTTGTGATAAACGTGACGGCAATATGTGGTGGGTTGGTGGTGGTGGGTGAATGATGGTCTGGGTGGGGTGCACGTGTGCCGTGTTTAAAGACTGACTTCTTGTGGTATCTTTAGGTCCAGTATGCATGCCGCCAGACGCTTCGCTGACTAAATCAGTGCACTTGTCATAGAGCCTGGGCTCAGTTCGAGGTTTATCTAAGCTTAATTAAGTTCTGAACTAAATTGTAAAGGAATTGCAGTACAATTTCAACAAAGTCATAGATCGATCCCTTGCTGTCCCTGTACGGGTTCTCAAGACCTGGCCATTCTGGTTGCAAATACGAAATACACCACAGGCAATCTGGGCCTAAGTTCGAAGTTCAACCGATTGTAGTTCAATATCTATGAAGCTAGCCGATCAACCTCTTGCTATGTATACCGACCCCATACGTGATCCCTAAATAGGACCTGGTCACTCGGGTTACGAATACGGCTACCTGCCAATATCAGAGAAATTGACTGCATATCTTGAGACCACTCCTCTCTAGCTAGTGATATTGTCTGCAGGGGGCGTCATATATGTCTCTTGTGTAGTCTGACTAGTAGCTATAGTCACTCAAATCACCCCAATTGAAACGAGTGGAGAACGGGATCATGATCAGGAAAGTAAAAATCAAAAAGCGCTCATGCTCAAATCCCGAAAGCGAAAATGAAAAAAAAAATCAAGCCGTTATGTTCGGCTTTACCTCCGTTACTGCAGGATATGGTGGTTGTTTGATGCAGGCCTGGCCAGACTCATTGGTTGTCGTGCTTTTAAGGTTTATCGGCGATTGGGGGCCTGAATCGACAGGGTATTATTCACAAACCTGGTTTATTATTCAAGACAATACCTTTTAGTGGACTGTTGGAAGGGGTTTAAACCTTCTTACAATGAAGTGGGGTTTTTTCATTTGCAGTTTCACATCCATACCGGGGTTCTGTTTGTGACTATCAAAGGGGTCTCTGCGGTGTGGAGGGGGGGCGGGGGGGCGGCGGGGAAGTTGGTCGATCAGTTAATGGGGAGGGCGCCGGGTTATTTGGGGCGTCGTCTGATACCGTTATAGCAGCTTTCTACGCGCATTTTCCCTTTCATGCAGTACGAAGATGCATTCTCTGCCTGATATACTGCCTTCCCCAATTGTAATTGGTTAAGAGCATTAAAACAGCCATTCATCCCTCCCTCCAGCTCGAGGCATCATCATGCAGAGAACTAATTACTAGTCACGATCAAGGCATCGAAGTCGATAAAAAACTGTTTCGGAAAGTACAACCCGAGTATCTACGAAGGTATGTACGACCATGGCACGCCCCGTACGTGGATACTGGCAACAAGTAACATATTCCAGAGGTTTTTTGAGGAAAGTACAACCTCGTGCTTGGTCGAATATCCCATTGCGACTATCATTGCCTTTAATTAGCTAGGGCGCCCCCCGGGGGAGGGGGGGTAAAGTGTAATCTCCACCTTTCAACGTACATTGATCTTCGGTAAGGTCTATTTTTTCCCGCCAGTCTTCCTTTGATACCAGTCAATTTAAGCTTGGGTCTTGGAGATAATAGGGGGTGGAAGTATGTTCGTGGCCTGGGATGCTGTGTGGCTAGAAAAGAGGCATTTCCTAATGGCACGGCGGAAAAAACTATTGCGTTACCAGCTACGTACAGGTTATAGTTGAAGTTTAAACCACGGAGTTTATTGTGACTACTGTTGTAGGTATTTTGGGGTAATAAATTGTGACAATTAGTTAACAATAAATACTCTTTCCATTTATATATCCGCCATGAGGTGGTGATCGATATTCGATTGTCATCAAGTATTGCCAAGCTAACTCATAATCCGAATCGAGTGCTTATACAGGCTCTATCAAAAAGCACAAAGCTGACCATAACTGTACGTAATGGGTTTAACGAGGCTTAGAAGCCTTAGTACTCGATTGGTTCCTGCTCGATATATATGCTACATACTACCATAGCTACATATAGCTGGATACGATAACTCCCCACTTACTATATATAGCTAGTTGGCCGAAGCCGTACTTATTTATTAACCACGCAGACGATGCGTATTTTTTTTTATAGTTATATACGATTAATATTTGCTTCCTATTCTTTCAAAACATTCCTTGTAGCCTTAAGCTTCTTGACTATTTTATATTGACTTTTGGAATGTTTTGTGGGGGGGGGGGGGTGTTCGGCCATCCATCTTACCAACTACATAGCATTGTAACGCTATTATAACACCCCCACAGTGTATCATACCGGTAAATCTGTATACAAGCATTTCTCGGTCTGAGGAGTGATATAGTTTGAATAGTAATCTAGTAGCTGGGGTATCTATGACCTTTACCTAACGTCTCAACGATTCACGTGGAAAAACCTGAAGCTGTCCCCATATATCTTCCCTGGTCTATACAACTAGTCTATAGGTGTCTCCTACGTGCTACGTTCGGCGTATTGATTACTATATATATATAAAATTACCCAGGGTTATGTACAATTAACAGGTACTGTAATAGGATGTATATCGAAGCTTAAACTTATGCTCACTAGTCAAGCTAGCTCCAAATTGATATATATACAGTGACAGAAACATGGATAAAACGACTACCGCAATCATTGGCAATGCCGTACCACTGCCGTACCACTGCCGTATACTTCGTTGAAATGCGGAGATAAAGCGGCACATTCTCACAATACCGTACTGATGCGGTATCATATTTACACCCATTTCTGATAATGTATGTACAGTACCATCGAAGCCTAGAATGTGAGCCAAAACCTACGCAGTAATCAAGCTCCAGTATAACTAAGCTATTGACTGACAGAAGGCGTTACCTTAACTGGGAACATTTTTTGCTGCCCTTTTGAAAAATATTATTAACAGTATTTATTTACCTATATAGGATTGGTTATTTTACGGAAAAGGCCTGAAATGACACGGTTTTCAGTATATACGTGCTCTGCAACGATACATGATGCAAAAAGACACAGGTTTCGCTGCCTACTCGACCTTATTTTACTAGAAGAAAAAGAAAAAAAGAAAAGAATAAAGCGTTCTTTATACAAAACTACAAAAGGTACTGCAGCGACTTATTCAGACATTTGCGACTGCTACCCCCACCCCTGGTTTGAACCCAGGACCTTATGTGTGTATTGGTTGTATCCTGGGTACTCTCGGTGTCCCGCCTGACGAGCAGTCTATCCACTAGACCACCCGCCCATAGTGGATGCCGGAAGTAGTACTTGAGCTTGGCACTGGTGTGCCAAGATGAAGAAACTTGAACCCTGACCCTTCGATATTGTCATTTCTCAGCCGATCCGTATATATACTACTTGATGTATTTGTTTTGGATCATGCCGAACTGTCTCATCTTGCATCATGTGTTATTGTACATACCGGAACCTGTGTCGTTTGAGACCCTTTCCCATTATTTTATTATAACGCACGATGCGGGTAGATCTTTTCTAAAGATTTATTTTCCATCAGCCTAAAGCTTCTAGAACTTGTTTTCCTCCATTATATGCTTCTTCTCTCTGGACCCTTCAAGTGCCATTCTGCCGATACTTTTATCTTACGTCCATTGGACAGCTCCATTGAATAGGGTTAGGGTTATCGTGAGCTTCAAATAAGGCTTTTTACACTTATACTGAACCGTGGGCCGGTACTTTATAGCTTGTGTATGGTTAGATGAGATGAGATGAAAGCATGGACGTGTAGCCCAAATACGTAGGATCTAAAGTTGGTTTACTATTATTGATGAACGGTCTTTCTGGGAACTATGGAGAGGTCCAGAAAGGTGTTCCGGGTGGGCTACATTCCTATCTCCCGCCATCATATCAGATCTATTATCACTACATACCTACATGTATGTAAGTAAAACACTCCCGTCCCCACAGCCCTACATCTCACCCTGACCACCCCTTCATGCAATGCAAGGCACGAGGTACTAGTTGAAACTTGAGGGGGGGTATATTCTGCCTAACTATAACCCCCGACCGGAAGTGCACATATCGGATCAATGACGTCGTTGCCATGGGGATGTCAATGATTACTCTGCCCGATATTAGGTGCATCCAACCACAATGGTGTGGGCGGCCCAATTCTATGTGTATAGTCCAGATTGCGTGGGGTATATAGGCCGTGAATGAGATCTACGGGCTGGCTACGTGTATCTAGCTAGCGGGGGTGGTTCTACTGGAGTGTTCTACTAGGGACGGTAGAGTGCACCTATTGAGACTGCCATGTATGCATAATGGGGAAACGTCTAGAAAGGGAAAGCTAGATATAAAAATATAAGAATTGAAAAAGAAAAAAGATATTGTACATACACCCCCACCACACATCTATTCACCCTCCCTACTCACCCATAAAATCTACACGTACATCTACTACTTTCCCTCCTCCTTCTCCTTCTTCTTCTCCTCCACCACCACCGCGGCCTCCGGCTGCTTCAAGATCTTGACGGCATCCTTCGAATACACATACGACAGCCCACTCCACACCGTCGTCGTCGCCACCGTATACCTATCGCGCCCCCATCATCAGCGCCCATCCTTCCTTCTTCCCTCCCTCTTCATGGAAAGAGCAAACTTACTGCAGCGCCTGCAACGCCAGCTCCAGATCCGCCGCGCCCGCAGCCCCCGCCCCCACCAGCGGATGCGCCATACACGCGCCCACCAGCCCCAGCTGCAGCGCCGTATTCAGCTTACTGATAGTGGTCGGATGCACCTCCGCGCTCGGCAGCGAAAAGTCCCAGTAGCGCACCATGGTCTTTGGCGGCGGGAGCGAGATCCAGCGGAAGTATATCGCCGATATCGCCAGCCCGACGTCGCGGCCGAGGATTATCGCCGCGATCCACACTACGTCTCCTTCTCAACAACCATGCTAGCAGAGAGGGGGGGAAGTGGGAGAGGAACATACCAGGAAGAAGCCCCTGCATAGCCAGTGTGACGGTCAATATTGTCATCAGCACCTTATCCGCCATAGGGTCTATAACGCTGCCAACCACGGTCTGCAGCTTCCACCGCCGCGCGATCCACCCATCGACGAGATCTGTGAGCCCCGCCGCCGCAAACAGCCCCAGCGCCGCTGCGGGCTGGTCATGGAGTACAAGGTAGCCAATCACGGGCGACGCTAGCAGGCGCGAGAAGGTGAGGATGTTGGGCAGGTTGTAGATGTTCTCGTGCGGGGTGAGCGCGGCGGGTAGGATCTTGGAGAGCTTTTTCTTCTGCTTCTGCGCTGGTGGCTGTGGTGGGGTCGGAGTGGGGGTGGGGGTGCTAGTAGAGGTGCTGCTGTGGAAGCGGGAGCTGTGGAGGCTGAGAGCGCCTTTTCTGTCGGCTCTTGTGTCAGTGGAGCCCTTTCTCTCTCTGGCTTTGGCTGGCTGGTTCGCCGAGCTAGAATGGGCTGAGCTGGTGGTGGTGGGGTGTATGGGAACCTACATGCTGCTGCTGCCCCCCAAGCCAGTGTTTCCACCTCCAATTGCGTAGAAGCACCTCAACGTACTACTGCTACTGCTACCGCCAAATCCCATGCTCCTGCTCATGCTCATGCTCATGCTCAGCGCACCACCACCACCCTGCCGCGGGAGTCTGCGCACAAGCGTTCGGAAGGGCATCGTCATCAATGGCATCTCAGCGGCGACGGCGGTGTCCGTGATGAGGATGGTGGCGGTGGTGGTGGGGAGTGAGGGTGGTAGTGGTAGTGGCAGTGGGTGTTGTTGATCCTGCGCAGGTTCGCATGTAGTTCGTTCGCAACCAGGGTAATGTATGTGGGGAATGTTGGGTTGCGGCTCTGGTGCATGATAGGCAGGCTAGGCTAAACTAGCTGTACGTGGGGTAGATCATCAAATCATCACATCCCATGCAACGACAGGCCAGGGATGAAGACTCAAGACTCAAGAGCCAAACAGAGGTTTTCCTTTTCCTTTTCTGATCTTGTCATGGTATGATTCCACAAGCGACTGCGCGTGCGGTCGATTGGTCGGTGATCGAATAACAATCCTGCGCAGTATTTCCCTTTTCTTTTTTCTCTAGTGACTAAGTTTTCTGACTACTACTAGTCCTAGCGCTGATTACTATTACTGCTCTAGTTTTTCTGGCAATTCCGATGCTTGACCCTGAGCTGCTGCAACCTCCGGCCATCTTCACTCCGTCACTCAGTCCACCTCCCCCGTACCCCCAGTACCGGCAGCACCCCGTACCCTGTACCCTGTACACCCCGCGTACCCCAGGGCCCAGTCCCCAGTACCAGCCCAGTACCACGCGCGCACAGCATTGCATCCTGTGCGTAACGCAATCGCAGCCAGTCTGTCTCGGCGGGCGCAATCGTGTTTGTCCGCCAGCTCGCTGCAGCAGCAGTGTGTTGCGCTACGATGCCCTAGCTAGCCGCCCAATGGGCACCTTCTTCTTGCAAAAGAAGGGCGGGCGTGTTTGTTTTCTTATCGCCCACCATCCCCTATTAAGGTGGTGGTGGTGGTGGATTGGTGGTTTTCCTTGGCTGCGTGACCTTAATTAAAATCCCAACTTGTCACGGTCATATATAACTTAATTTTAGCACATATACCGCACGGCCGAACCCCTTTGGGAAAGGAAAAATAAACAGTTATGGTATGTTTTATTTCCCTGGGAACCAATATTCTTCTCCCACCCTCCCCCCCAGAGCCATAACAGTGCCTACACGTATACCTACTTACTAACAACAAAAAAAGTCTCAATCCCCAGAAAGTCTCGGACAGAAAGAAAAGAAAGAGGAAAAAAATTAGGAAAAACATAAACCCGTTACAGAAAACCACCCATCGTCTCAGTTAGAGTAATTAAAATCATGATACAAACGAAAAAATATGGAAAAGAGAATAGATGTTTTTAGGGAAAAACACACAGAGGTATCGAAAATAGCCAGATTTAAGAAGGAAAGAAAGAAAGAAAGAAAAAACATAACGGCAGTTAGTTCATGAGAAACCCCAAATCCAACAAAAAAAAACAAAAACAACAATAACACCCGAAATTTAGACAAAAAAGAACAACTATCTCCGCCTTCAACAAAAACACGAAAATTTCAAATTTCAACATGAAAAGGAGTATAATGCTCACAATGAGTCGAAATTTTCAACAGGAGAAGATGTAGCCAACAGGGAAATAGAAGAGAGAAAAAACAAGAGGGTGATATGGCATTACATAATACAAATAGATCGACGCCGATGATGCCCAACTATAAATGAGAAAAGAGAGAAGCGGATATGGGGCGGGAAGAGCTTTGGTGCGGGAGGGTGGGGGCTTTGGGCTTTCAAGGCCTACGCTTCCCACTCATATGTCTCATGATGGTAGTTATCAATGATCCCCCCTGAGTTCCACTGCTCTGGAAGGCGAGATTCCGACGCAGTGATTGGAGCGACAGGCTGCCGAAAGTTGCTCACTGGGGTACCCCCATCCTCGTCCCTCTTCTTGGCGAATTGATAGTTCTTCAATTCGGTATTGTTAGAAAAGTGCTGGACGCTTGGCTCCATATTGGCAGGCCTCCGGTACGGAAAGGGCGGCTCGCCTGGGAAAGGAACACTCTCATTGGGCATAGATCGCGGTTCGTGGGCGGGAAGCATTGATCGTGACTGTTCCTGCGACGGTTGATAGGCGGGTGCATGGAAAATTGGCTCTGTTTGCGGGTACAATGCGAAGAGGTTGCTATCCTGTGGGATGGCAGGTTCCTGCAGCGGTTGGAAAGTTGCCGCTTCAGAGAGTTGTTGGAAAGGCATCGTGCATAACTGCTGCATATGCGGATGGGTCGGCATTTGTTGCTGGATGTGTTGATGCTGCAATGGGGGAAATGATTGTTGCTGCAGAAATTGCTGGTGGTGGTGGTGCTGGTGATGCTGTTGCTGATGCTGATGCAGTACTTGCTGATGCCCGTACGGGATTTCGACTATCTCGTGCCTGTACCCGCCGTGGGGATTCCGGAGTGGTAGTGGTAGCTGACGTTCTGGCGGAGGCTCTTGCTGATGCTGTATATCACCCATGTCACTCGAACCGCTATCGTATACATCCGTATCTTGCATTCCGTCTTTATCGTCATCATACAGTGGCTGTCCATCCTTATCATACCTTCCAGAAACATCAATGTGGTGTTTATATCTGGGATTCATCTCGGCCACGCCCCTCACATCAATCTCCCTGAGGAATGGATAGATTTCCTCTGGTCGCCTCAAGATCTTGTTCAAGACATCCGATATCTTGAAATAAGCCACGATGTGATACTTATATTGGTCGATTGTGACCGCCAGAGTCTTCTTACACAATCCATCCTCCTTGAAGAGGTATGAATCGTGGAGAGACCCCACCACGGCCTTCCTCTCCTCAGGGCGAAGGGCCTGAAGCAATGGATCCAGAACTGGTAAATCCTGGCCCATCTCCTGAGGAGATGGAGAGCCGTCTAGATGGCCATCACCCTGGTCATGGCCACGAGAAGACGGCCGACCTGATGACGAATATGGCTGCATACGGGGGTTTCTAGCGTTTGGCCTAATAACCCTTCTTCCACCCGGTTTGAACTTGTCAAACACCTCACGATAGACCAGAAGGTTTGTCATAGCCCTGCTGGGGCTCCACCGAATGCTGTCCGTCCATCTCTTTATTCGGGATTCGTTCTCTTCGTAGACGAAGACATGTCCAGACTTTATGAGTTCTGAGCGTTCGTTGTCCAGAGGGCGGCGTGGTACACAGTGGAAGTATTGCTTTTGACATGCCTTTACGATTTTGAGAGCGTCGGCCGTGGATTCAATGGTGACTCCAGTGACAGTAGGACAGACAGGCTGATTTGCGTGCGAGGACATTTTTGGTGATGAGATGAGGGTGGGATGGGGTGGATAAATAAAGTCCAGCTGAGGAGGAGGGAGGAAAAGGTTGCGAGGAGCAACAGAAGTTGGTGTCAGGTGAGTGAGTGTGTGAGAAAGGTTGTAGTAGCAGGATGAGGAGCAGCAGGAGGAGGAGGGAGAAGAGGGGGAGTAATAGTAGGGGTAGTTATGATATTCTTATTTTTAACAGTCAGACAGGTGTGTGGGAAGATAGACACGGCCAAAGACGGTCCAGAAGTGATTCACTCCGATGAGCCAGCAGAGGTCGAAATCGGGAGACTGGAGGACAGACAGCTGGCCGAACTGGTGTGGTGAGACTAAAGAGAGAAACAAGCAGATCGGAATTGCAATACCTCACAACTCAACCCGAAGAAGCTTTAGGGCAGACGAGGATGCAACTTATGGGAAACGAGAGTGAGAGGGAGAACAAGAGAGAGTGAGGAGGATAAGGATGTATGGGGGGGGGGGGGCGGGAGGATGGGAGGACGAGAAGGGGAGGAGAGAGAGAGAGAGGCTGTGAGAGATGAAGAGGGCAAGGCTGCAAAGAATGATTGCAAGCCGTGATAAGAGGGCAACAAGCAGCTAGACGAAGTTGATGATTGGGTAAGGGAATGGCGAATTCTATGCTGGAAACAAGAAGAATACTGTGAGAGAAATTCGCCTCTCTCCTCTGTCCGTCTCCCGTCCTTTCCCGCTTCCACTCGTCTTATCCAATTCCTGTTTTCTATCAAAAAATCAGTTAATAAATAGACAAAAAAGAGAACCTGTCACTTTCATCTTCCAAATCGATCCGTTTCCTCCTCCTCCCCCCAGGGTCAAGGTGTACAAAGCAAGCAATCTACATGCAATCCCATGCTAGCTGTCGTCGTCGTCGACATTTCAACCAATTTGGGACCGACAATTGCACGGGATGCAGCATACGGAAAAAAGTGACAGGATACTGCATACCTAGGTAAAGGTAAATCTCAATGATGTCAATTGGTTCCCCGTGAAAGGTCCCTAACACTTGGCCCAACAACCACAGGTGCGCTTTGTAACTGTTGCTTGTTCTGTGAAGAACGTAAACAAATTGATGTCAGTACTCAAGTCGCAATGCCACGCCCCGGCGGTACCTCTCGAAAAAAAGCAAAGTTTTTTTTAAGCCTTACACTGAAATGGCCCGAGCCCGGGATCAACAAAGCTTATAGCTTGATGATTTTTTTGCTGGAGATACCCGTAAGGCTAAACAGACGTTTCTTTAAAGGTAAAGATGGGAGTAGCGACTTTGAGTTATTAGTGGTTGGGCGATTTGTCTGTGCCGCTGGCTGGCTGGATGGGTGTAGGAGTACTAGCTGATGGTAGTAGCGTGGGAAAGGCGAATAAAGATAATCGATCAAACAACCTCCTTCCAGAAAGGAACAATATGCAAGAAAAGAAAATACAAAAAAAAAAAAGAACACAAAAAGTGTAGACAAAAAGCAAATAATTAGGATATTGTAGCAGATCTTAGCGAAAAAGAATTCAAATTTAAAATGATGAACGAAAGAATAAAAAAGTTGCTAAAAAAGGCGTAATATGAGAAATATTGCCAGTGCTGCAGTGCAGATAATGGGGGCAGGAAAGGATGTATCACCGGTACGGGATCGAAGTGCTGTCAAACGTTTTGGTCAAGAAGAGATGGAACGCAAGAAAAAGCTAGGGAGAGCTCAATAACAGATCAAAGCAAGCTACCGGATATCAATGCTGCGCTCTCTCAGGAAACAATCTGGAAAACGTCCGGATCAGGACTTCTGGTGTGTGAACAGCTAGAGCTTGCTAAGAAGGAAAACCGAGTTCTTGACAATATATACCAGGACATGCTGCATGCAGCCCGCTGGACGTACACTGGGTTACTTATGCGACCATCAGATTGACGTCTCTAGTTTTTGAAGCTGACCTGCACGAGGGCTTTCGTGTGCACTAAACGGATAGGGCAGAATTGTGTCAGTGTGGATATCGATATCAGATATCGGGGTATGGGTATGGGTATGGGTATGGAGGTGGGGGGGGGGGGGGCGTGCTTGCTCGGGAGGGGGATGGTAGAAAGGGAAATGGAAAAGCAAAGAGTACTAGTGAAAGATCCCGAACAGGGGGGTCCGGTAGGTGATCTATTGCATGGACGTGGGGAACTCAGTAGACCGAGCTTCGCGAATGCGTACTAATAGGGATCCAGGGAGCACACACTTTTTCTCACTGAGAAATAAATCACACGCTGGCCTGACAACAGCTTAGCGCAGATACCCAGCTACTGGGTACTACATTGCACACTCAGAATTCCGATGCGGGTTGTCTGACATTAGGCTGTGAAGTAAGGGCCGGCCCTTCCCCCCTCCTAGCTCCTCCTCCTCCTTCTTCCCGCCTCTCTAGGCCCCACCAGTATATAAAACGGAAACAGAATTTTGTCTTCAAAATATACTAAAGAAAGTATTTCATTCACTTGGCCAGCACGATAATGGCTTCACGCAATGGCCCTCGGCTGACCAGAATCAGCATGATCTGTGTGTGGAGTTGTTGTTGGGGTGTGCATGCAGTAGTGTTGTGTGTGTGTGAGTGGGTGGATGGTGGGTGTGTGGAGACGGGGGGGTACTACTGAAAACACTCATCTTCGAGATTTCTCAGTAGTTTGCGCAACGAAATACTCGTACAGTTCTGCGACACTGCCCAGGCAAGGTAGAGGTGCTTGTAGCCGTCTCAATTGGGTACTCGTACTTGCGGGCTATAGGGGGGGTGACAAGAAAAAACCCACCTCTCACCTAGTCGTCTTACCCAAGTGCTCTTGCTCGGAGAGTTCCAATCGGTGTAAAAGAAATACTTAGCCATACTGGTTCCCGACGAGCTGGGACTGGGTGTTGGTGCAACCTTCACATGCCGCCAGACGTTGAGATCTAGCATTTGAATGCTGGTCGCAGATCATTTTAACGCCACCACCTACAGCACTCGATGCCTTTCTCGCTAGAATAAGAATAAGAAATTTAAAGAAAAGCAACTTAGAAGATGAGTAGCAGCATGTTTTATTAGAGCTTGTCAGGTCGCTTCTTTAGACTACAGTCTTCTGTCTGTCTGTCTGTATTATTAACAACCTCGTTTAGCTGCACACCACATACACATTATTTCTTACCACAGAGGAGCGTTGGTACCTGACATGAGAGCTTCGGTGCGTGACCCTGGGATCTCGCTCGCTAGCCCCACCATGGGTTACTCTCCAGCTCTCACATCCCTGGTAAATTGTAAAATATCATCTCAGCCGTTTTTACTTATTTAGAACAGTATTAGAAGAACCCAGGCATGAGAACACACATCTCGATCGATTCACTATATTAACAGCTACCGTCGTTTTCTTTCCCTCAGGGACTCATCTCATCCCGGACGAACCATGACTGTGCCCACCAACCAGATCAGCTTTGGGGGAGTTATCTATCTGCTGCTACCTACCACCTACCATCATGATCAATCACCACCACCAAACCCATCCATCTCTGGCACACAACCAGCGGCACAGCCACGCAACAGGAAACCATCAACGCTGTACTGAAACCGGGGAGCCGCCAGTCGGTGTGGCAAACAAATTCGCATCCGTAAAAAGTAGGTACAATTCCTGTTCGCAACCCATCCATTCGTTCACAACGCTCACGACTCACCTTTTCCTTTTTCTCTCCCCTCCTTGTTTGTTTCCGCAGGGTGGATAGATGGATTGGATCGGGGGGGAAAGAAAAAGCGGTTGCTTGATGTTATTGGGGGGTCTAGGACGAATCCGGGAAAGCTCGATCGTTCCCGCACCTTTGGCGAGGTAGGGGGGCCCCAACTGCGGGATGACGAACCAGACCCGTTTACTGTCTGTCTGTCTGATCTGTGTCTGTCTATCTTTCTCTGCATGCCATGCCAATGTTATGTCAACCTCCACCTCCTTCCTTAATCCTTCTTTCTCGCCATGCGTATATGTCGGTACGTATTTTTACATTACAAAGAAGTAGCCAAGTACCTACCTACTGAAGGGACGGTGCAGCTGGGAGATCTGCCGAATCTGTGCCTGCTTCTTATCCTGACAGTGTACCTACATATTACATACTGCGGTATGGCTGGCCGGCGAGCGGTGAGTGTAGTTTGCATCCTTCCCGCTGCGCAGCGCCGCGGGTACCTAGTTGACATCGGCAGCGCTCACAAGCCATGGTCTAGTCTTGGTCTTGGTGTCTCCCGCCGAGTACTACTCCATCCATGATTTATCTGATCATTATAATCCATAACAGTTAATAATATAGTAGAGGGAGAGCTGATACATGTACCTGCTACATATAGCTACACCCTTGTTACTATATTACGGTCAAGCCAGTTGCTCGAGCTCGGTAAAACAGCACTCGTTATATAATAGGATTTTAATAAATAAATAACATGGCCAGCAGTTGATTCCAAATAATTGGAATAAAAAAATAAAAAAGATAAATCATCTGGCCATTCACCCCCGCGAAACATGTACGCCTGAATACTACTAGTCAAGACTCAAAGACATATCATTTGATATGCTACCGTCAGCCAGCCATGGAGAGAATCGTACGTTATCCCTCCACGATGTGATGTGATGAACGACGGTGTCGATGAGTCGAGCACAGCGCCGGCGCCAGCTAGCTAGCTAGCTAACCCACATCTCGCCATAACTGCCAGAAGTCCATTCCGGGTGGGCTACCAACCCCCCCCCCCCCCCCCAGTCAGTCATCTCCACCACCACCACCACCATCATCATCACCATCATCATCATCATTATATCCGACGTTCCGAGCCAGAAAGAACCTGCGCCTCCCCATTGGCCCCCCCAGCAACGGATCCGGTATTCGGGCTCCATCGCATCATGCTTCCTAGACGAGCCGGACAAGACAAGACAGAATCCGGGTCCTACGCTGCCTGTGTGTGTGGGTGCGCACGCGGGCAGGTTTGTTTCTGGTTCCAAATGTTGGTGCTGCTGCTGCTGTTGTGGTGGTGGTAATGGTGGTTGGTATGTCGGCCTCCTCCTCCTACAGCTTCCTGATACAATATGGAGTACTTGTGTACATGTATTTGTGCTAGAATGTTCTCTGGATAGTAGTACTGTACGCTGGCTGTGGGTACAGGATACTACATGTACTCATTTTCTCTCTACCTAGAGTGAATGGCAGCCTTGTAATTAATTGTAATTGCTGAGTACCTGCGCTTTGTACCATAGATAGCTGCAGAGTGGAGGTACCTACTCATGAAATGGTGTACCTTCTTCTTTAGGAATTAACTCTCATTCACCAATACACCCCACGCGTAGTGGGGAGCGGGTTTGACCTATTTTCAACTCACTCACTTCTTCATTCTCTTTGTTTTGTGGGGTACAGTTGCTGTACCAAGATAACGACAGTTACAGTTATATACCGCAACCTGCTTGCCTGCCTGCTTGCCCGCTTTAGAAACACCACCACCCACCACCACTCACTCGCCCACCCAGCACCCCACCAGTTCCCACCACCACCACATAGTGGACCGAGCTTTGACGACTCTGCGACAAATAAATCCCCTATTGGCTGTCTGAGCCGAAGGCTAATTACGCATCTCAAACAAAAAACAAAACAGCAGCTCTCAGTCCCCGGGTTAATCTTTCGGTTGGATCGGTTGGCCGGTATGCGGTCGGTCGGTTAGCACCGCTCTACCCTACAATTACAATTACTTACCTACTAGTACCTACTGTAGAGCAAGCAAGCACTTAAGACAAAGAAAGAGAGACATCACTAGAGATGTAGCTAGCAAATAGTACATACTACTACTAATGCAGACCGGGGAGAGCAAGTAAGAGTAAAGTAGAACGCCGGCCAATCATTGGCCGGTGCAGCCATGCGCACGCAAGAGGAACGAACCAACCAACACTCCTGCCTGGCTAGTAACTCGCCTGCTCCTCTACTCTAGCTACAGCAGTAGCTCAGTACATGTAGCTAGCTAGCATGTAGTGATGTGTCAGCGAGCGCCGCGCCGGCCAATGAAATGAATTAGTAACGCATGTCGGGCGTGGATTTGGCAGCATTGGTTGCCTGAATATCACATCAACCAGTAACAGCAGCAGCAACCCACCGCACCGCGCCGGTCGGTGTGCGCCGACGTCATTGGCTGCCAGCCAGCAGGGGCCTAGAGCATCTAGAGGTTTTGATTGTTTGGAACATTGCGGTTTTTGCGTGCAAAAAGGATGGACTAGCTGGATGGGTTCCCCTTAGTTCCGAGCGAGATGGAATGTTGGGGATACATACCGTGTTGGAATCGACTGGCGGCGCTGTCAGATCGGATCAGTTGGGTAGGTACTCTACGTTTGGCAGCACCGCATGCGCAGCTCGGTCAGTGGTGTGCTGTGCGATGCAACCGGTCTGGCTAACGTTAACGTGCGGGCTGATCACTGACAGTAGGTATAGTACTGACAATGATACTGACTGACTGACTGACTGACTGAATGAGTGAGCGAGCGAGTGGGCGAGTGATCAGGAGTGACTACATACCTATCTGGAGGATCTAGGAGTCAAGTGCATGAGTGAGACAGCTCGTTGGATAGCTCTCCAGCCGGGTGGGGCCGGGATTGATTGAGAGCATACATGTACTCTAGGCCAAGTACATGATGTAGCTTAGGATATGGGCATTAGGTATTCTGCTGCTGCTGCTAGCTGGGTAGCTGTAATATGCTGTATGTTTATTGCAAATTGTTGGTACGGGTTAGAGATCGGGCCCGAGCTACGGGTATTTTGGGCACGGTAACAGTTCACTGGGATCACTCACTGCCTGCGGCCGTCACTATGCCAGATTATAATATTATGCGAACACTAGGTTGGAGAATAGTTAACGACGCACTGGGAATTGAAGCTGGCAAACCACTTTTCGTCACTGTGCTGTCTGTTGGCGGCCTTCACCATGCACTCACTACATGTAGTCAGCTCGTCATGTGAGGAGGGGGGGGGGAGATCTGATGAAACTGTAGTTTTGGTGGGAACCGGGGAAGAAACCATTATGGTTAAGGAAATATGATACATCATACTAATGGGATGGTTACATACTGTTTCTGGAGAAGATGAGTCTAGAAGGATGTATGATATCGACTGTTGCACCTCGGCCTCTATCTGGCTGGTTTGGCTGGCTGGCTGGCTGGCTGGCAGAGCAGGTAGGTATCCATTCCGTACCATAGCAGAGTCATAATATCACTATATATGCTTAATATGGAGTGAGAGAGGAATGCAAGCACCCTCTTACTATATCTGCAGGCGAAGGTTATGCACATAACCACTAGTAATATAAAAGGTACTTATGATTACGATTTGATATATTCCAGCTGGCGCCTCACTGGCGGCGCAACTCTCGCACGCATACTCATACCCAGATATGATACACATACACATACACATAGCGGAGTTCCAATGCATGGCATTGGGACGCACTTTTTTTTTATTGACACAGAATCGAAATGAGCGTACGTACGTACCGTGGTAGCTAGTACTTGCTTGGTCATGGCAGATTACAAGCTGGCTACATGTGTAGCTGCGCTGGCCCAGGTAATTGTTTGCTACTAGTGGCTACCTAGCTACATATTGTAGCTACATAGCTAGCTGCCGTCTAGTCGAAACACATGTATACGCCATTGACAACGGTTTTGAGTATACGTAGTATCGTGCTTCTTGGCGTCTCACGTACTAGCTAGCACTAGACTGACTGCTGACCCTAAGTGCCAATCACGCCATATATGATGTAGCTATAGGCTCACGACTGCTTCCTTTTCAATTAGGGGTCTTGTATCTATAATCTATAGCTATAGATGAGAGTGCTATATGTCATCTCTCTATAATTAAAGCTACAGGTTATGGCTAGCCTGCTCTAGGCAGCCGTGCAGCGCATATATATATATAATTATATGATGGACACGATATTATAATATTATAATATGACGAATTATGATTATATGAGACCATAACCAGCCAATGACAGCCAATGACAGTCAATGGCAGCCTCGTCATATTGTCAATGAGCTGATCATGATCAGGACTTGGTTGGGATTATCTATCTAGCTAGCTAGTATCTGTCTCATTAGCCACCCGGCTACTAATGGCCTACCTCTGCCCCGCCCCCCCCCCCCCCCGGGGAGGCCCCCAAAGCTATATCACACTCGTAGTATACATATATTGTTCCACCCAACCCCAATTGAGAAACAACCGCCACTAGTAGTATAGTTTAGTATAGTATAGTACCCCCCATTGCCATAGCTAGCCCCCCCCCCCCCCTCCGCCGACCCGCCCAAAGCAGCACCCACACACAGGAAACAAAAGAGAAAAAGAAAACCCCAACCCTCCAACCGTGGGGGGTAGGGGTAGATGCATGACATGACTGGTACATTGTTTCAACCACCTAGCTACCTAGCACCCCCCAAACGTACCCTTCTTCTTCCCCCTACGCTTATCAGTGACGCTGCATCCATGTATTAAACAATTGCACCTACCTACATACACAAGCAGCCTGTACAGCGCTGTCCCCTCCCGCGGGCCCGAAGGGTCGGGGGGGTTCATGCAGGTGTTAGCTATCCAACTACATGTAATATATAAACCTGATCAATCTCAATCGAGCCAGCCAGCCAGCCAGCCAGTACGTATAACGTTACCGGAGCCGTGTATCGGGAGTTTTTTTCCCCTCCCTTTTTCTCGCAACAGCCCAGGATCCCTGGTTCATGCAATCTATAATATAAGCTTGTAGGTAGCAGTGGGCGGGAATGTTGCGCACGGATACCCGCACCTGTCAAAAAGCGGGAGGAAGGGGAGGAGGGAGTCCGGTGAAGGGGGTAGCGGGTATGTATGATATTACTATGGGGGGGGGGTATATATGTATGTAGATAGGGGATGTGGTGGGCCTAAGAGGGTGGGAGGGAGAGGTGGCTGGTGACTGGTCGGGAGAGATCGGACGTTGGAGTTTGTGGTGTTTGTCTTTTGGGGGTGCTTGTTGGGGGGTACTGTTGAGTGAGTGTTGAGAGCTGCGAGATCTGAGACGAGGTCTGCAGAGTCTGTATCATAGTGGCGCGCGGTGATATAGTTTTGGTCTCTGAATTGTGTATGTTTTTAATTTGGGGCGCATCGATTCTACACAGTGCGGTATCAAATTGTCTTTGTGAGATAACAAAATTAAAAACACAAGCGTGCAAAGCAACTTGTTCTAGAACAGCAGATCAATCCTGCTTCCAATAGTTTTGATCGTAACCCGCGGGGTTCTTTTTCGCAGGATGGTCGAATTCGTGCTGGGGGACAAGACTCTGCATCATCGGAAGTCACTCGGCCCCGCGATGTTTCGGCCATCCACCACCACGCGATGTTTCGGCCATCCACCACCACGCAATGTTTCGGCCATCCATCCAGCCATCCCTGCCTAGCTGCCTAGCGAGCTGTCAAAGAAGGCTGGCCGCTGCACGGGCGATCTCCCCTCGATGAGATCTCTGGCCCCCTGCTGCAGACTATTTTTATTCTCCGTCGGCCTTGATTGGCGGGCTGGCAGAGAGAGGATGGAGCGAAGGGGAGGAACGCATGGCCAAACACTTTCGCCCAAAGGGGGCTGCCAAGACACAGACAGTGACAGACGCCAGGCACACGTGACGCGTGACACACGCCCAACCTTCGCAGCGCAGTTGTGTAAACACGCGATATCACAACGATTGACTGGGAACGAGGAGAGAGAGAGAGCTCTCGATCAATTGCTACTCTTCAACTCCCTCTTCACACACACCACAAACTGCATCTCCCTATCACAGCCAGACCCCCACAGCCATGGCCCCCCGTCTCGTCCGCCGGACCCCCCTCTCCGAGCGAGTGCTCGCAGCCCTCAACCCGCTCGACGCCCTCCTGAACCTCTCCACCTGGCTCTCCTCGCACGACTGGGACGGCCTTCAATCCTCCTTCGCCACACCCCTCGGGCTCACGCTCAACGCGCTCTGCCTGTTCACGCGCGCCCACTCGGACAGCAGCTCCTACCGCCGCGGCGTCGAGGACGTCATCCGCCGCGGCGCCGGAAGCACAAGCGGCATGGGCCCATGGGGCGCCGCAATGGTCTACTCCGTATGTGTATCCTCCTCCTCCTCGCCGGCCGACGACAGCGGCAGCGGCAGCGGCCCCCTCGTGTCTTCCTGTCACCCCCTCCTGAGTACGTTTGACGATGATGTATACTCATGGGAACTGTTTCCGCCCCGACAGTGCTATGTCGTCTCGTGGTCGCTCGCGGTCTTTAGTATCGTCAATGCACTGTACTGTGCTTTTAGAACACGGCCGTATAGGCTGTTTGAAAACAACATTGAGGTCTGCACCCCCCCCCCCCCCCACGTCTCTCCCAGGGAATACTCATTAACACACACCCCGCACCAGATCCCGCCGCAAACCCCCTCCGCCCGCCGCGTCCGCGTCGACTCCTCCCCCACCACCTCGCCCATAAAATTCCTGACCTCCCTCCTCGAACCCCTCCTCGACTCCCCCTCCCACCGCGAACACCCCAGCGCCACCCGCGACGTCTGGGAAATCAGCATCTGGGACCCCACCCCGCTCTCCCTCCGCCTCCTAACCCTCTTCTCCCCCGCCCACGTCGCAATCTACTTCCTCTCCCTCCCCATCGCGCAAAACCTCTCCTACAGCGCCGCCGCCGCCGCCTACACCTACCACCCCACCGCCAACATCTACGCCGTCCTCGCCACCGCCCTCACCACGCAGCTCGTCATCACCGCGCAGCTGACCCTCCTCTGCCGCTTCTTCACCCAGCAGCAGAAGGACAAGGCCCTCCTGTCGCGCCAGCTCATGCACGAGTACGACACAAAGTTTGTCCAGCCCCGCGTCAGCGTGGTGACCCGTGATGTGGCCGTGCAGACGCCCAACCCGCGCACGGGCGAGGCGGGCGAGGTGGATACGTATTCGCCGATGATGGCACGGCAGGGGTTTAGGACGGCGCCGAACCCGAATTATGCGCCGTTGACGACGGCGGGGGCGACGCAGCTGTTGCCGCCTACCGCGCGCGGCAGCGAGCAGGACTACCGCGGGTACTCCCCTCTTTCCACTATGCGCCAACCACAATTTAGCAGCGGCGCTGTTACGACGAGACGTGCGGCGGCGACGGCGACGCCAGGAGGGTTGTACGGTAGTCTCGGCGGAGGCCGCTTGGCAGAGCCGGCGCGGAGGATGCCGCGTGTGAAGCGGGAGGAGGAGGAGAGTGATGGCGAGGAGCAGCTGCAGCAGGAGAATGTAAGGCCGAGGAGGCACTGGCAGACAAGAGGGGGGGCGGATGCGCATTTGATGGGGTCGAATGTGGGTATGCATGGGCTGGTGAATATGAGTTTGCAGAATAGTAGGAGTCTGAGCCCGAGTAAGATGGTGAGTCCGTTTAAGAGGGTGCCGAGGGGGGGTGCGGGGGGGTGGGGGGGGTGGGGGGGGTGAGGAGGTAGTGGGTGTGTGTTGGGGGTTGTGGATGAGGATGAATGAGCGTTTTGGGGGGCTTTTAGTTTTTTATAAAAACGAGGGTTCTTGTGTTTCTGCTGGGTTCTTGTTTCCGCCGGGAGATATGGACTTGCGGCGGCGGGGGTTATTGACGCTTTTTTACTCCCTTTTCTTGTTTCTTAATGACTTGTTTGGTTTCTATTCTTTTTTTCCATTTCCTCTTCTCTTTTTTCTCTCTATGGGTCTATCTCTATCTCTATCCGTTCCGTAGTATGGGTATAGGCCGTGTATCCCTTACGCTGCATTATTGTTAGTTAGTTACTGCATCATCATCATTATCATTATCAATACAGGCCTTCATCTCTATCTCCATCTTCTGCGGCGGAGATCTAGATGGTACCTCCCGTCCTCATGCGTGCCTAGATAGCCCATTGACGACATACGAGAACAAGTAATCAGCGTGAGTGCGGCACGATGTCTCGTTGCTCATCACTACATACATATATCTAGCTATATACAACTTTCCAGATGACCCTATAAGTTATCCAATCTGCTGCCCCCTCAAGCGAGTGTATAAATGAGAGCTGCATGTACGTACGTACGTAATATTCAACCACCATGACCTCGCTGCCAAGTGGGTGAGTCGGTAAGTATTCCTCACAAATGTTGTAATCATGGAGCATCACTCGGTCACGTGGCGGCTTTACTTCCATGAACTACATGTAGATACATGTAGATCTGTAGTCTTGGAGCTCTGAGTGTGCTCTGAGCTGGTAACCCGCGGGTTCAGCTACACGGCTGTTGGCAGGTATCGACACCGTTTCTTGTTTCATGGCTGGTGCGCGGGTGGGATAGCTACTACATGTAGTTCACTTTACCTATAATGGCCTGGATCTACTCAGTGCCCGTTCTACTTCCATCTAGATATATATCTATATGTCACAGTCCCCCCCAATTAAAATCCGAAGAAAGCGGGCGAGTAGTGCCCCTCGACACCACGAATGCCGGCGTTTGATCAAGAGGACGGGGGAGAAATAGAGTACCAAGTGCGCCCAGTCTTAAAGATGATCGTGACAAAAGAACAGCCAAATCCTCTATAACTTTACCGCCACAATAGATACCAAAAGTTTGACAGAATAAGGATTTGTTCTGACATCTATTCTAGCTGTAAAGCCGTAGAGAACTTCGCTTTTTTTGTCACGATCAACTTCAAGATTGGGGGCACTATACCTTCGTGTTTTCTATAAAAGAAAAAAGAAAAAAGGAGGGGGAAAGAAATCTGATGCCCTCCAACAGAAAAGCGCCTGCAAGAGCTACAGCCCATAGGAGGGAGAGGCCACGAGAAAAGACACACAGGGAACCCATAAACCAAAACTTACTAGAGTGAGATACCCACGAGAGAGTCCATACTCACAGAAGAAGACGAGCGACACAACAGGAGAATCCCATTGGTAAAAGAAAGAGCCCACGAAAAGAAGAAGAAAAGAGGGTCCCAAAAGACAGAGAGCCCACAAACAGAACCCACGAGAGAAGCCAACAAACAACAAGCAGCGCAGTTGCAACAGCCGAAAAGAGGAAATGTCACAAAAGTGAGCCCACAAGAGAAGAGTCATCGAAACAACGACCCGCAAGTGAGGACCCACGCCCAGCAAAGAAGCCACAAGAAAGAGCCCATAAAAGAAACCCACCAGAGTGATAACTCTCCAAGAAGTATGCCCTCCGAGAGGAAACCGCAAAAGACACGAGACCAAGTGCCCACAAATAAACCCCACCGAAAATACTGCTCACAAGAGAAAGCCCACGACCACAAGAGAAAGAAACGCCACAAAAAAGAGACAGCAGAAGAAAAACCCCATAGAGGAAACCCACAAAAGAGAGCCTACGCCCACAAAAAAGACCAGCCCGAGGGAGGTTACAAAGGTGGGAAAGCCGACAGAGAAAAGCCCACGAGGAGCAGAGCCGGAAGAAGCCCACAGGAAAATGCCCACAAGGGGTGGGAAGCTCGCCAAAGAGGGGCCCCACAGTAGAAGCCCGCAAGGAACAAAACCACAGAAAGCCCACAGAAAAAATGCCCACGAAACCCACAAGGAGCATAGCCCACAAGAAACCCACGACGCGGAAGGTTCACAGGGAATACAGCCCACAAGCCCACAGAAGGAACGCCCACGAGGAACAAAAACCCCACGGAGGAGGAAAGAAAGGGGAAAAGCCACAGAACAAAGCCCACAGAAAAAAAAAGTCCACACCCAAAAAAAAGCCCAGTGAAAAAAAAAATCTTTTACTAACCCCTCGCATTCAGCCAGAGGAAAGAAAAAAAATAGAAAAAACAAAGTTTTTTCTTCGCATCGACTGGCTGCAGTGTAATACCAGTGATACAGTGGAGCAAAGGATGCGCAAGCGCAGAGCCAATACTCCTATTCCTAAAAATAAGGTTAATCAAAAAAAGTCCCGGGGGACTGTTTCAGTGATTAAACTTTTTTTTAATGTTAGCAATGATGATCAATAAATAAAAAAAAGTAAAAGAGAAGAGGGAGATACATACCTGAAAAGAACAGATACTACACTTGATCTAAGCCACTGTTGAAAGTTAGCAAAAGGATCAAGGTGAGAGAAAGGTGGTAGGAGACTTACAAAGGCAAAGAGAGCTGGGGAGAGAAGAAGGGAGCGGGTGGAGAAGGCCTTTTATACTCGGGCTGATCTTGGCAAGAGCGGATTTTGGCCGACCTTAGGGCTACAGTTCTATAGGACACGTCAGCTGGGTAACCGTAACAAAGGGCATCGTTGGCATCTTGGTATGCTTGCTCATGACGGCTCTGGGTAACTACACGTAGTCCTCGTTTGGGCTATGGCCTTGAATTCTATCTGAACAGTAATCTCAATTCATCGACTGGCGACTCGCACTTGCAACGGCTGACGTTCCGATTGTCGCCCCGCATCCTGTGTCCATAAACACAAAGACGTTTATAAACCCTATCATACTAACAAGGCTACAGTTATTCTCCGCGTTCAACCCCCTTCGCTACCCCAAAAGGCCCCCGGAGAGCTGATACAAGGGTGACTACCAGGCGAGTGACAACTCATGAGCCAAGACTGCATCTCTTCTAGCCGGAAAGCACTGGTCGATGGTCTCATTTGTCCATCATGCATGTAAAAGAGCACATGTATGCCTGCTACGATCTCAAAAAGTCTGTCGATTCAGCTTATATGCAGATTCTAATTTTAACAATCCTCAAGTCCCGGTCCGTGTTGACGTGAGGCTTGATACAACTACAGATAGTCATCCGAGCCCAATCAAACGGCTTGAACTGGAATGAGATGGGCATGGAGCTCCGGTCATACATGTAACTTAGGGATATGCTTATTCTAAGCAGCTTTGGAGTCATAGTGTGTTCCATTGAGCTGAAAATTGTAGGAAGTAGAGCTGGGTACGTATCAGTCCGATCGGGACACTGGTCCAAGTATGAGCAGATATGTGGCTTCATTAAGGTGCTCTCATCGAAACTACATGTAGTACACACCGTGGACAGCCATAAACGTGTCAGATAGAACAGACAACATGGCTACATAGCACAGTTGGCAGTGCCTCTTGCTGATAATAGCTTTACAACAAGGTCGAGGTCCAATCCCCTGGAATCAACATCTTTTGACTCTTTTCCGAGACGAGATACAAATATGAACAAAGTGCCCAATTTTGGACAACTGTTTAAACCCAACCTACAGAACCCAAAATTCTACCTCAACCTAAGGTGATAGCCGTCCATGATACGCCTTATATACTTTCCTTCTTACTTATAGAACCAACATCATACAACTGTCCTCTGCCTTCTCTATTCACACTCTCGATGGCCCTTGCCAGATACCGGTAGCTAGGGGGAGAATTCGAAAACCCACCATCAATACGATAGCTCCCTCACCTCCCCTTCCCCTTCTCAGAGTATAGTGTTGGTATAGATCCACTAGCTAGAAGAGACTCCACTTGAGCGAGCGAATAACCGGAAAGATTGCGGCCAATAATTTAGCATGGCCGACGATTAACTCTCAGTTGCACCCGTGTAGCAGTAGCATTTCAAGAGCTGTGGCGGCTAAGAGAATACATACCTGCCGTATAAGGTCATCGATTACTCCCATATTGGTATTCTATCCACCGTTCCCCATCATAAAAAGGAATGCTAGATGCGGGGGCCGTGATAGTGAACTGACCACTACTCGCAGTTAGAAGGTATTCTAGTTCTTCGCTCATAAGCTTTGGAACAGGTCTAAATCAGTAGTAAATGTCAATCGGTGTTTTATCCCGCCGTGGGGTTTTCATACTGTCTGGCGAATAATACGTGCTCTTCTGGACTAAACTTTTACGACCGCTTGAACTATACGTAAGCCTGAACCCCCCACCCCCTCTGCCTCAGCTCCCCCCCCCCTCCCCCCTTCCCCAAACTCACTGTTTTTATAGTAGCATTGAAAGAATTACTTCCTACTGAGTTATAACATCAGCGCTATGCGTTCCACGAGGACGCCAAAGCTAATACTCTCTCCTTAACGGACCCACTCCTAAAACCCAAAGGCACCGAGCTGTGTACGCGCAGAATACAGTAGATATAGTGGAAAGAAATCTTTAAAGGGTTATATGTGTTGTGTGGTGTGGTATGGCTAGGTGTCCTCCCTGCTGGTGAGATTCTGGGTTTTGGTGGGCAGAATTCCTTTTGACCGCGGGGCGTATAGCTTCTAATCCACGCCGATTAAAACGAACATGATTTTTTGAAGCTAACGAGACCATACTAGGATCGGGCATGCCATTCCGGTGTTTATTCTATCCAATCTATAAGCACTATCTGGAACCCTGCATCTATCAGTTAATCCAGTCCTTATCGCTTCTCGATCTGGTTCCTTTGAAGATGTTGGCTAACTATTACGAGTTGTTAAAAATAATGGGACGCAACAGGCCTGCTTCAGTGTAATTTCTCAATCACAACCACAAAAAGGCCATAAATACGGCAGATGATAATACGGAATATAAGAGGCCCAAAATATTTTTTCATCCTGTATCGTCGTCCGTTGGTGGCGGGGTTTGGTGGCCTGTGGTTGTGGTGTTCATTCCCGTTGCTTCCCATTATTTTTGACAACCCGCAATACATGTATTAGCATCACGAGTGATGTCCCATGATTCTGCCCAAGCCGACAGCACTCCCATTCGTTGGAACGAAGCCCCACATTGATATCGGAAATGTTAAGATGGCGTGTTCAAAATCATTGGCCTTGTTTGAGCTAACTATCTTTAGCGGTAGTGGGCTGTCATACGCCAAGACCGCGCCGCATGGCATTAGATCTTATCAGATAACTATTGATCTTTGCCAACAATAATGACTCTGTTTGAGCATAATTATATTCTACATGTTTGTTTTCTCCCCCGCCCCCTCGATCTTCACTCAATTTATTCATCCGCCCATGCACATGGAATCCATCGACCATTTCCTTCCGCCCCAAAACAAAACCCCAAAACCCCAAAACCCAACCCTCCCCATGCAACCCCTAAGGATGCATATCATACGGGTTATCCGAATCCCTCCTCCCCACCTGCATACACAACGCACACTGACTCCTCTCACACATCGGCATAAACTTCCTAATCACCGGGTCCTCCAACCCATCCACAACCGTCACCAGCGCCCCACCCGCATCCAACACCGTCGGCAGCAGCGGCATCAGCTCCACCAGCACCCTCTCCTGCCTCCTCCTCGCCGCTTCCACCCCCTCATTCAGCCTCCTATTCGCCCTACAAATCTTATCCATCCGTCCATAATGGCTCGACAGCAGCGACCGCACCAACCGCGGCTGCATCATCACCTGCGTGCCCGCCGCCTGCCTCACAAAGAAGCGCTGCGGGATGCGCGTCTGCAGCCCCGTAGACATCCTGACGGGCCGCATGAGCGCGTCAAGGCACTGCGCGCGCTCGCGCGCGAGCAGGCGCTCGGTCTGGTGGCAGAGCATGTTGAAGTAGCTGTGCGGATATTCCGGGGGGAAGTATGTGAAGACGGGGGGCAGCGGGGGGCCCGCCTCGCCGTTTGGCCCGGGGGGGACGAACCAGTAGTTGTGGTAGTCGACCAGTTGCTGGTGAATGCTGTCTGGAATGAGCATCGGTGGGGGTGCTGGTACTCCTGCTGCTGCTGCGGCGGCGGCGGCGGCGGCGGCTGCTGGTCCACCTGGAGCGAGCCCAGGTGCGGGCGGAGGTGGAGCTCCGGCGAAACCAGCTGGGGCTGGTGGGGGTGCTGGAGGCATTTTGAGTGAGGTTTTCGAGGTGGGTTTTCGAATTGACTGTGTCTCGTTATATTGTTGTCTTCAATTAGCCCACTCCCCGCGTATCGGGGGCAGGTGGGCGAGTATATGAGGCCCGCGCAAGAACAAAGAGTCACCACGAACAAAGAAACCCAGCACCACAGCTCTCTCACAACAACACCATTGAATAGAACGCACAGCATCACAACAACGCCCGCACACACAATAAAGCAAACCCATTCTATCATTCACTTCTAATATAACCCTAACCCTACAAGTCCCCCTCCCTCCCCATCAACACAGCCCTTCCTCCTCCTGCTCCTTCAGGCACTTTGCCAGCCATTCCGCCTCCTCCTTCATAACCTTCTCACTCCGCGCCTTCCTCTCGCCCATATTGACCGTCGGGAACTTTGGCCGTCCGCCCCCACCACCGCTAACGGCTTTGCTGTCCGCGTCGCCAATGACTGCCGCGGGCCCGTGGTGGCCCGCAATGGCCTTCATGCCCTCGAGCGTGCTGGGGTGCCGCGCTTCAAGATAGTTGCGCAGAAGGTCGCCGTCGTCGGATTCGAGCATCGTGTAGATCTGGTCCTCCTTCTCGAGGTCTTGCATCTGGCGCGGGATGATGTGGGTGTGCACGTGCGGGACACTAGAGATGGCCCGTCAGCCCACCAGGTACAGGGTCAATGATCATCGCGGCGTAGAAGGGCCAATGATCGCGCCGCCGCCGGCTGGAAACATGATCTGACCCCTAACTCTGCGAAACTGAGCCGTAGCTAGAATAGAAGGATGGGATGGGGTGAAATTGGGGGGTGGGGGAAGGCAACTCACGACTGTCCCGCCGCAGCGCCGTCCTGCATCGCGATGTTGAGGGCGTCGGCTTTGTAGATGCGCTCAACAGCCTTTCCGATCTTTTGTACGGTAAGGAATAGGTCTGTTACCTGTTTGTGCGCTCATTGCATTACTATCAGCACTACACTAGATAGCTATCTACTGCAGCTGGCTGGGGGGGTGGGTAGGTAAGGTAGGTAGTAGAGACAGCTAGGTAGACAGCTAGACAAGAGACAGTAAACAATACCTCCTCAGTACTAAGATCCTTCAACCGCGGCACCACCCTATTCGGACACACGAGCACATGTCCAGGCAGCAGCGGCTTCAAGTTAACAAGCGCGAAGCAGTGCGCCGTGCGGTAGAAGACCTATCCGTAGTGTTAGCTGCGGCGGAGTGTGGAGCGCGGACTGTGGGAGGAGAGAGGAGGACTTGTGAAGTGACGAGGAAGGCGCCAAAGTATACTGGTTTTACAGCGGCCATTGATGTTGCTGGCGGGGGGGAGAGGGAGGTATAGTGGGGTAGGTAAACAGAGGTAAGTGGTGGGGGAGGTGGGCACGGGGTGGTGGGTGCCAAGACTGGGGTAACTACTGGGCTGACGTTGGGTATCTAGGTTCTGGGTTGGCAATTGATCTGGATCTGGAGAGAAGTGGATGTCCGGACAGCTGCGGCGATGGGTAGATGCAGTGCAGTGCAGTGGTTCGCCTGAAGTGCGTGATTACCGAGCAGGGCAAGGTAGGGAAGGTATGGCCATGGGTATCACTTGGAAAGTAGATTGCAATTGCTTTTTGTTTTAGGCCAATTGAGAAGACGAGAAACAAATAACCAAAGCCGGAATTCCAATTGGCCCTCGTTGTAGATATATCGTTTAAACGGACAAGGATTTCTATAATAGATACTTCTATTCTAGAGCCTGTACTTATTACTACCGACAAGTTAATAAGTTGATATAACAAGCTCCATAACCATCATTGGCCCCCAAGAATTCAAATCCCAAGCAGCTAGAAAAAACAGCTACTTCACGCCCCCCTCAAAGTCCAATTCCACGCACCCTCTCTGCACGAACATTTGCGCCAACATCAATGACGAGTGAGAGCATAAGTAAAAAAGACAAGACGAACGAACATAAGCGCCGCTCAAGTCTCACCCAGCCACACCAAACCCAGCAACCATCATAAAAACACAAACAAGCCGCATAAGATAACCCCCAGCCTCAATTCAGCGGCATACATCAATTGCATATCTACGCCGCTATTTAATATTCCAGCCGTCGAATAGTAACTTAGACACTCCCCAACCGCACCCGCACCCGCACCCACACCCGCACCCGTACCCGTACCCGTAGTCCAAACTTCATATTGCTTCAAACTTCAAGCCTAAGCTTCATTGTATCGAAATCAAAATGCCCTATCTTTTTATCATTTCCTTTCCTTTCCTTTCCTTTTCCTCTTCTCCCCCTTCCTGCTGTATCTCATATGCCATGATATGTACTCATCCCCTCACTCTGGACATATAGGCGCACACATAGCATAACATAATACAAAAAAACAACCGCAATAAAAAAATAAAAAAATAAGAGCCACAAACACAAGACAAAAGAAAAACCCCCATGCTAAAATTACCCCTAAAAAAACACGCACTCCCCAGTAAAAAAACACACACTTAAACCATTACAGACAAGAAAAGTCTACAACCACCCCAGGCCAGCCTACTCAGAGCTTGATTCAGAGCCCAAGACCAGTCCATCGGATGGCTTTCCGGCGCGGATGCCATCGACGTTGACGATGACGGCGCCGGCTTGGACGAGTGCGGTGCGGAGGTCGTCGATTAGGTCGTCAACGCTTTACGATCGTTAGTATTATGTTTTCTATAATAGGATATTAGGGGGGGGCGTACTCTTCGATACCCACGCAGAGGCGGATGATGTCCTCCGGCATGTTACGCTCCGCACGAGTCTTCGCATCGATACTAGCGTGTGACATACGGCTACCCTACCCATCAGCAACCATTCCCCCCACGACCAAAACCAAAGAACAGAGGGGGGGGGGGGGGGGTAAACTCACCAAGGCATACTAATCAAACTGTTGACACACCCAAAGCTCACACTAATCGCCCACAACCTCGTCGCCTCCACCACGCGCTCCGACACCGTCACATCCCCCGTCTCAAAGCTCAGCACTGCGCCGGCGCCCCTCGCCATGCTCCAGTGCAGCTCATACTGCGGATGACTCTTCAGCCCGGGGTACCTCACCTTAAATCCCATCTCTTCCAGGAACGTCGCAATGGCCATTGCATTCGCCTGCTGCCTCTCCATGCGCACTCCGAGCGTCTTGACACCGCGGAGCAGCAGCCACGAGTCGAAGGGCGACAGCCCGCAGCCCGAGGCGTTGATAGTAAAGTAGAGGCGCTCACCGAGTGATAGGTCGTTGACGGCGATAACGCCGGCCATGAGGTCGTGGTGGCCGGAGAGGTACTTGGTACCGGACTCGTAGACGATGTCAGCGCCGAGGTCGAGCGGGTTGAGGAGCCAGGGGCTCATCATGGTGTTGTCGACGCAGACGACGGCCTTTGGCGCGACCTTGTGGGCGGCGGCGGCGATGCCGGCGATGTCGACAATCTTGATGAGGGGGTTGGTGGGCGTCTCGAGGAGGACCATTGCGGTCTTCTCGGAGAGAACAGGCTCAATGGAGGCGACGTCAGTGGTGTCAATGTGGTGGACGATGATGCCGCCGTGGGTGGCAAGGTAGGTCAAGAGGCGGTTTGTGCCGCCGTAGAGGTCATCGCCGGTGATGACCTCGTCGCCCGGGCGCAGGAGACGGGTGATGACGTCGAGGGCGCCCATGCCGGAGGAGACGACGAGCGTGCGGGCCGCAGACATGATCTTTGCCAGATGGCGCTCGAGGTGCGAGCGGGTGGGGTTTCCGGATCTGGTGTAGTCATACTCGAGGCCGCCGGAGTTTGATGTCTGCTTGAATGTTGCAGTCTAGGGTGCATGGATGTTAGCAATTGGGTTATATGGCTCTTGAGTCAGAGTCAGAAAGGGGAGCGCACTTGGTAGATGGGCATGGAGGAGGCATTGTACTGGTCAGAGTGCTCGGTGTAGACGAGTTCGGTGGCAAGGGCGTATTTGCGGCCGTTTGTGGGCGTGGAGGGGGCGGGCGTGGGCGGGAGGTCGTGGCCGGAGAGATCGAGCTTCTGGAAGGTTGCGCCGAGAGAGGCGGGCTTGTCTGAGGGCGACATTTCTGTGGTGTGTGTGTGAGAGTGTGAGTGGGTGGATAAGGTGTGTCTGAGAGGGTGTGAGTGATATGTAGTTGTGTTTATTATAGATAAGGTTGCGTATATCTATCGATGTCTGATGTCTGATGTCTGTCTTCTATAACGCTCTTCTGTAAGTGTAAGTGGGGAGTTTATGGACTGTATGAGGATGTCTCTCTTTCTCTGTCTCTCTGTCTCTCTGTCCGTCTATCTCTCTCTCTCTCTCTCTCTTGCTGTCTCAAGAGATAGAAAGGGCAGCAAGGAATAGCCAGCCACAGATGTCGATTGAGTGCAAGATGGATTAGTCACACACACCTTTAAACCTCCAATCGCAGTCTTACAAATCTCAGTAAAAGGGGTTGCACGTTGTCGGGCAGAGTCGTTTGTTCAGAGATGGAATGTTGCACTTGATCCTTCCTCAGTGTTCACCCGCGCGGGCGTTTGTCTGTTTTTGCGGGGGAAAAAAAGGGCAAGCACGCAATACCCCCCGGAACCCTTGTGCTAGCCAGTAACTTGTAGTCTAGTACAATTAAGGAACCCTGCAACTCAAGAGCGACATGAATTTTATCCGTCTTGGGAAACTCTCTTTTGGCCACTGAGTGAAAAAAAAAATTGAAGCAAAAAAATAAACTTGTCAGAGCTTCAAGACAAATTTTCTGTATCAGTTAGTAGTGGAACTTGAAGATCAATCATTGAATCGAATAACCGAGCATTCCCGCAGCGGGCGGAGGAGAATTGCACTTTTACACTTCACACTTACTGCCCGCCGTCCACCACTCAACAAACTAGGCCGCAGCTGCCTACATGTACCCACAGCTACCTTAGACAGCTTCCATAGCTACCAGCTACAGCTCACTACAGCTAGAGCTACCCCCCCCCCCCCGGGCCACTGACCCCACCATCACAACTCACAATCATTACCCCTCCGCAGCAAAAAAAAAAAAAAAAAAAAAAAAAAAAAAAGTAAAAAAGTAAATAAGAAAATAAGAAAATAAGAATAAGAAAAATAAGCACAACCGGCCTAGCTAATCCAGATCTCCGAGGCCGCCTTACCGTGTAACAACGATGATGGGAGAGGACGTCAGATCACTGCTTTGCCGGTACCGAGGTTGGAATTGAGATTGGAGGATGGTGGCGGTTCAATTATAAAAGGTACAGGTATCGCACGATCTATGTGAGGATGTTAATTGCATGTGGGGAAAGTGGGAAGAGTGGCCTCGGGGTTGTGACGCGTACACTTGGATGGTGATAAATACTTTCCGAATGGCATGGCCGGATGGAGAATTTAGGAATTCGAAAATCGGACCAAAACATATCTTTCCACGGGAGCCCACGCATACAGCGCGATAAAGAGAATATACTCACCTCTTATAACCAGACTTACCCCTTCATACGTGCACACATACATAACATCAGTCCAGAGAAACGAAATTCCAACGCCAAAATTGCACTTCTACTAACCAGAGCAACTGCAAGGATTCGTAGTGAGCGAACCATGTTAATACCTGTAGCGGACCTAATTGCCTGGGACACACTCTACCAAACGTTCATGACTCAACTATCTTCCTAAGTGGGTGGAAGTAAAGATAGACAAAGGTGGGCGGGGGGTTGAACCGACAAGACTAATTATCTGAGAGTAAAGGCTTGGTGATAGAAGAGCCGGCGAGAACAAAGGTTCGATGATAGTAAGCGTCGAGAGTAATAAGAGCTGACGGGTGTAAGAATCGATGAGAACGTATCCGGCAATCGATACCACCACCACCCCTCACCCTGCGTGTACTGGTAAGTAGCTCCTAAGCCTTAATCTCCCCCCCCCCCTCATCCCTTACCTCTCCCCGCAACAGCAACCGTACAGTACCTCCCCACCGTAGCTCGAGCCCGTCATCCCAATACCCCAAACCTAACACTCTCACTCAATAGAAGCAGCAGCCCACAAAGGCCTCTGGCTACAATATGCCTATCACACACATCACAGCCAGTAACCCCCACTATCCATCGTATCCCGTCACCCCCCCCCCCCCACACAGAAACGCTGTATTGTCTATTCCTTCATTCTTAAACACCATCCTCAAACTCTCCCAACGGCCCCAATAATCCCACCGAAGAAGCCCAATAACACCCAATTGTGTCAGCGCCGCAAAACGAGTGATAGTCCATGACGGCACCTTCCATTCTGAAAGAAGTAAAAATGACCTGCCGCGCGGGGGAAGACATTACAAAGGCCTCATTTCAATAAAAGTGAATGAGACAACATTCACTATCACTATCATAAAGCCCCACAGCTGCCGTTTGTGATAAATTTGTTCTCATGACTGGACCCGATCGACAGAGTGACAATTCATGATCGAAGCTCAAAACATGTTTTTTTTATTCAACTGCATCCCACCGCATGTACACCCGGCTATCTAACGCCATATCAACAAGCCCAATGTACGATCGATAGTCGTCCCCAAATATATGCGCGCACAGTCAGCAAGGTATCTACAGTTGAGCTTTTTTTTTCTCTGCCGCGCTCCGCATCTAAGTGAAGCGTCTGGGCTCAAGGACAGGCTTGTTCTTGACCACAGCCTCGATCCGCTCCATGACCTCAGGCGTCAGCTTATCCAGATGCTTGAGCGCCTCGACATTCTCCGTTATCTGTTCCGGCTTGCTGGCGCCGATGATTGCGCTTGAGAGCCTGGGGTTCTTGATGACCCAAGCAAGTGCCAACTGTCCCTGGGTGATTCCGAGTTCGTCGGCAATGGGCTAGATGGTTGTTAATAACACCGCTAGTGGTAGTGAGTAGGAGGGGAAGGGAAGGGAAGGGGGGTAGTAGAGTTATATATGTATGGATGGGTGAATGCATACCTTCAGGTCCCTTGCAGCTTGGATGTTCTTCTTCATCTCCTCGTCGCTATCGAACTTGGCTCTAACGGAAGTAGTGAAAGGGTCGGTGGCAGTGGCGAGACGAGAGCCCTCAGGGATCTTGAACTCGTTGTATTTTCCAGTGAGAACACCGATCTTCAGGGGGGAGAAGCACGTAATCCCAAGTCCGTGCTTTTCGTACAAAGGGGCAAACTGCTTCTCGACCTTGTCACGAGTAAGAAGATTGTACTGGGGTTGTTCGACCTGCGGAATCATATGCGTTAGTTCGCTGCGTGTTTCGTGATGGATAATTGGAAACATCTTGACAGGGTGAACCTACCACTGGCCCAATCATGTTTAGCTTGTCCGCAATCCTCCACGCATCCGCAATCTCCTCTGACGTCCACTCGCTTGTTCCCCAGTAGAACGCCCAGCCCCTCTCGATAACGTGGTTGAAGCCTCTGACTACCTCCTCCATGGGGGTGTCCCGGTCCGGTCGGTGGGCGTACACAACGTCGACATACTCGAGCTGCAGTCGCTCCAGTGAAGCCTTCAATCCCTCAACAACGTGCTTCCGTGATAGGCCCACGCAGTTCTGTGCCTTTTCGGTGCTTGAGGCATTATGACTGCCCCAGTTGATCTTTGTAGATATGACGAGATCGCAGCGAGGCCATTGGAACTTCTTGATTACTTCGCCCATGACACGTTCGGAATCACCACGGGCGTAGGCCTCGGCGGTGTCGAAAAAGTTGATGCCAGCATCGTAGGCGGCCTTCATGCATTGTTCGGCGAGCTCTGTGGGGTTTCATGTCAACATATGGAGGTATACCAGGTTGAATGCTATATCGATATGAGACCCGGGAACATACCATTACCAACATGGCCACCGTAGGTGACCCAACCTCCCAAACTGATAACAGAGACCTTAAGGCCGGTACGTCCGAGATGCCTGTATTCCATCTTCTCCTGTTCTTTTCCGGTTATGCGTTTGTGGTTATTATATTCTGAGTGTGTTGACGTGATGCGAGTATGAACACAGGTCAATGTCTGTCTTGGGTGGTATATTTTGAAGATGAAGAAACAGTTCTCACAGGAAATACGGCGCCTTATATATCACAGGATCTCGGATATAGCGATATATCCAGAGAAGGCCCGAACCAACTCGATCCCCCCGCAGGCCGATATGAAGTATATGCGCCTATGACGTGCCCCGCAACCCCTGTTTGTCGCAATGGTACCCCTCATCCCATCTCACTCTTGCAGCAGAAAAAAATATCTGCTCTAAGCTTTGTAGGCAGGTAGCACATGTATGTAAAGGGTACATGTATGCCCGCCTATCAAAAGAAGTTGATGCTCATGCCTATAGCCAATTGTAACCCTCGGAGTAACTCAGTTGAACTGGGTTGTTCATACCCTGGGAATCCCATGACATGAGCGCACATATGCAAAGCTTCTGCTCTACATATGTACCCAAATTATCTCTACTTGGGTAGAATACAGCGCGTTCTATGTGGCTAGTGAACTAAGCTTCTTTTTACCCTTTTATTTACCGGAAAGCCGCAAGAAGATGTAGGGACCGGCATTGTGTTGTATGCACTTGCGATGAAGCTTCAATGCTCGGCCCGGTACCGAAGGCAGGTGCAGGTATGTAGTCTAAGATTCTAATCCTGCCGAGTCGGGCCTGTGTACCGGGTTCCCATATCGGGGGTCGTGGAAGAGCGAATAAAATCCGTCCCTCCATAAGCGAATGGATAGGGAAATTATCGGCTCAAGTGATCATAAATTGGTGCATCAAAACCCTTTCACGGATGGCTGCATTCCGTTCAGGTATGATTTACAGTGCTTGATCATTATTCCTGCAAATACCCATGAACTCGAGAATGATAGTCTTTTTTGCCATATGTCAGCGCGATTGAATAAGTAGATACCATGGAACTAGTATTAATTCCGATGGACATAGCCTGGGCTAGAGATTCAGCCGTGGCCTATTCCTGTGAGGACACCTGGTAGAGGGCCGGATAAAAGGTAACCAACATCCCGCTGCTACAAATGATTCCTTAAGAAGTTGACACGGATTGGTTGGCCTTTACGTTGTTTGAAAAACGAAGAATACATGTATGATTGTATGGATAATATTGGGGGTGTTCAGATGTCGTTTTTCCAAAACGAAAGGCCAGCCGCAGAATGCAAGATCTTCAGATCAGTGGTGAGGGGTAGTTGAAATGTAAAGAGGGGTCTTGCACAGTAATAGGAACTTCAATTGTATGCGGTGCCTACATACAATACATACATATGATGTAGAATTGAGACCAGAGAACTGATATGAGAGTGGTACAGGTGAACCCAAGCACCATGTATGTAGGTACACACAGTACACACTTTTCTATTTAACCGTAGTCAGTGTCTTGAGCATTAACGCAGTGGTATTTCTAGATAAAGTTGTATTGTTGCTTCATGACTGACTACATGTAGGTACTTGTAGGTACATACATTGATTGTTCTTGAGGTCAGCAAGGTACTCACGAGCATCGGCCTTAGCTGCATGCATGTCCAATTTGCTAGCACTGAAGCTGCGCTCGGAGGGCACCCAAGATGACGTGCTGCACGCGGCCCCTCACTTATTTCAAAACCCTGCCTTGTGCCCCTCCTTTTGCCTACCGGTGCTGACAGTAGGTGTTTCACCACACGACTTCACGAGCGCTTACTCAAAATTTAGCTGGTTCTTGCAAGAATAACCATCAAGATGAAGGTCTACGAATATGATAATACTATGGTTAGGCGATTTTGTTTTGCTCTATGCTCTTGCTCTCGCTATACGCTTCAAAATGTTCTAACGCATAATACTCAAACATTCAGGCAGATCAGCGAGAAGACCATGATTCAGGTGTAGCCGTCTCAACGGCCGAGCTGGAGAAAATTGGTGTCATCTATCACCACTTCGATTCGGTCGAAGACGTGAACTCTTTGGCGTCTGAGAGAAGTTACAAGAACCGCGATGAGATTGTCGTTTCGCCAAGTGCGATGGGTGATGTGTACGAGGCAAAAGTAAAGACCTTCTTCAATGAGCACCTGCACGAAGACGAGGAAATTCGTTACGTCCTGGACGGCACCGGCTTTTTCGATGTCAGGTCGAAGGATGACCGCTGGATCCGTATCAGAGTAGAGAAAGGGGATTTGATCATTTTACCAGCGGGTATTTATCATAGGTTCACCACCGACAGCCAGAACGTACGTTTGATGTTGTTTGAGTCTGTGCAGAAAGCCGGAAGTGCTAACTTTGAGGTAGTATATCAAAGCAATGCGTTTATTTAAGGACGAAGTATGTTGTCCTTGTGATTGTAGTTCTCCCTCCCTTGCGATTGTGCTGACAAGCGTATAGCCCAAGTGGATTGCGTTGAATCGTGATGCGGAACTGGACGAGAACTGCTTCAGAAAGTCATACGTCCAGTCTTTGGTTGCGGCTACAAGTTAGATGCGGGCCGCACAGGATAGATAATGATTGGATTGTACGATACCGATACCAATAATTCTAGAAAAATCCTTGGGGGGGTTTTTATTTTATTTTTTTATTTTATTATTCTTTTCACTTTTGATACAACGCGAGTGTAATCGAAAAAGAGACCTTTCCCCTCGCTAAGGTGACGCTAGTTTCAGGTAGATAAGACCCTTGTTCAATGCTCAGACTTCAGACGCGACCATAAGCACATGATGCATGTTAGATGTTGACTCCCTCTTACTTTGCTACTGTTGCCGCTAGGTACATACCTAGCTATTGTTGCTGTCCGATCTAAGCTTCAAGGTCTCGTCTGCGCAGCTCGTATAGGAATTCTGATGGAGGAATGTATTGATTATTGAGACTTTTAAAGAGATCCAGCTAGCTACATAGTAGCTTACTTAGATGGAAGTAGCAGTTTATCAGCGGGTTTTTGTTTGTTCCGGTGACTTTAGCGAAACCACCAAAGACCACCCGGTAGGCCGCGTGGAGTAGGGTACAGGTATGTAAGTGGGAATGGAAGTGAAGGGCAACAAGAAAAGAAAAAAAAGAACAATCACACACCCACTTGACGGCTTATTGGCTTGATTAGCCCCATCCAACCACAATTAACACTGCCCTTTTCGTAGCGCACAGAAACACTGTGGGACCACTGACTTAACTGAAAGGTGCATCCTTGCTTTGTCTCTTTTCGTCCTTGGGCCGCAAGCTCATCTGGTGGACTCGAAGCAAGGAAGCACCCCCGCCTTACAACCTTGTTCCCTTTTTTATTGTCTCTTTATTTTTGCCCCCCCCACACACACACACCAGTTCACACCTACCATACTTACCACCTACCCGTCTCGTTGCTAAAGGAATCCATCCATCCGGAGATAAGAAACTTGTGTGGACACAGAAGCTGCGCAGACTGGCCATCTCGGATCGTGGCCACCTTCTCATGTTCCCCCGGATGCCGTTTTTTCCCTCTCTCACCCATCGTTCCCTTTCGTTGTCAGTCAGTCAGTTGTCAGTCAGTCGCCCTTCTCCTTTCACATAATCTACCCCCTCATTCCCGTCCGGCTTTGGCATCTCGAAAGTTTCTTGTTAATATTCTCCCGTCTCCTCTATTTCTTCAAGTCTCGTTTTTTAAAAAACAATACCCTATCCCACCATATCTAACCACCCCAAGGATGTTCCTGCCCCTGCACCCAAAGATCCTCTCCCCTCACGCACTGGTGTTGGAGGATGAGGGGGAGGGGGCAAGGGGATTTGAACCTTCTCGCATTCGTACATGCACATACATAAAATACAGTAGCAAAGACGGGGCATTTTTCTGCTGTTAACATTACCCAAAGCGGCTAGAGCATTACCAATTTTGATACAGGTAAGTCTTTTGCCCTCCACCCATCATTGACTTGTTATCCCATCCATCACTTCTCAGTCAAATTTCACCCATCCCAACGATTCCCATCGAATCCATCCATCCCTATTGCAGCCTAGGCTGGGCTGCCCATCCGTCCTTCCCCCTTCTGTCCGCTTTCGCTGCTTGGTACTCGCCTTCTCTCTCAGTCTGGCTTCTGCTGGGGCTGGTTCTGCACTCTGCACGGCTTCGCTCTGTCTCTCGTCTGTTCTTCCTCGCTCCTCGCCGCCTGTCGCCGCTGTTGCTGTTGCTTCTCACTCCTCCTCCCCTCCTTACTCGTCGTGTCGCTGTGTTCTCTCGCTCTCTCTCTCACACACACACCCACACACACACACACACACACCCCATTACCACCCTCCCTTTCTTTCTCATCACCCCCCCCCCAAATACCATCTATCCATTCAACTCTGATCTATCCATCTGTTCCATCATCCCATTCACTAGTACTCTTCTCCTCCCCCCTAGCGATTCCATCCAACATATCCAAGGCATAAATCTGATTGAAGAGGAAGAAGAAGACAAGCCAACGATTTTCTACCAACAATCATCTGAACCATCATTCCTCCTTGCCAACCCTGGGTGCTGGCGCTTCGATCATCAAAGAAAACAATAAATCCAAGCAGCCTTAATTCCTCTACGAATAGAGCCATATCACTCCCAATATCTGGTCCAGCTCTTCTTTTCCTTCACTCTCACCAACTCCTCTCGACTCCCCTCTCTTCGATTCTCTCCCTTGATTAATTTAAACATCTCTCGACTGTATCATCGCCTACCAGCTGCCTCGCTACGCATAAGGAGGAAGCAAAAGCCAGAATCATCAAAGGGGGGCTACCGTTCTCCCCCTGCCGGATCCTGCCATCACTCGCTCGCTGTTTAGAAAGGTCAGCTACATCCTCGCTTTCTCGTAACCCTCCCGCCCCCCCCTTCCGGCCCTACATCCCTTTCCACCCTTTGCCACGAGCCCCCTCCTGGATGAATCTATCATCATCCTTCGGTAACGGCAAGGCTGACTTTGTCAGCAGAAAACTATTTGATCCTCTACTGGAATTCACAATTCCTCCCCCCCTCTCTGCCACCTTCAACGACATGAGTCTCATACCAGATTACTTCTGAAGACGACAAAATTCCCTCCTTCGAAGAAGAAGCCGCAGAGAGGCTGTTTCTACGAAAGATAATGACCGAGAACCCTACCATTCCTTCTCCTTCCGGTCCCCCGCAGCCTACCTTCGCAGCTTCGACCAACCCTCCCGAAGACGCCGAGAACCATCTTGGTGAAATCCAGTGCATTTGCGAGATTTCCGATGATGATGGCTTCACCATATGTTGCGACATCTGTGACAGCTGGCAGCATCTTGTGTGCGTTCAGCTCACCAAAGAAAACCTGCCAGCAAAGTACTATTGCCCGAAATGTTCGCCACGGACTCTGGACATACAAAAAGCCAAAGATATTCAAAGGCAGCGACGGGCAGAAGAGCAGGCGAAAAGAAGTCACAAGAAAAAGCGACCGGTTGCGACATCACACAAGAAAAAAGAACATACAAACGGAACGGCCCCGGGCAAGTCATCCTTGGGAACGGACAAGACGACAACGACACAGGGCTTGGGTAAGCCGCCCAGCCCCAAGGAAAACCAACAACCCTCCAGCCGAAAAAGGGGCCATAGAGGCTCACAAAGCATCTCAAATCCACCTATACAATCCGTTGTGGGACCAGCGACCTTTAACAACATTGTTAATGACACGATTTCTCTGGATTCGCCCCGAATTGCTCCTCCGACTCACAACGGCGACACAGAGAGCGACACAGACTACGAGAACAAACGCGATTTCGCTACCGCAATTGAAAAATATGGGGAACCCTCCCAGGCCTTCATTGAGAAGCCAGTATCTACTACCCACTTGGTGAGAATTAATACTCCTAATAAACTAGCCTGTTGGGCTGACCAGCTAATGGAAAAGATGGCGGAATGCTCATGTTCGGGAGCGAATGATTGTCCTATGAAGAGTGAGCATTCTGCACTCAAGCCTCCTATCTCGAATGGAAGGCGAAAGGCCAAGAGGAATGCATCCCTGGAACCGAATATTTCTGTCATTCCCAAAGAGCCCAGTTCCGATTCTGGGCCTCCAAATGATGAAGACGACGATGATAGCCGATCGGTTTCGGCACCTTCATCAAGAAGCAAGCCTCGCAGTCGTGATTTGACACCATCGGCCTCGCTCGATACTGCAATAGAAAATGAAATGACTGCACGAGACGCTCGAAAGCTGAAAGATGTATTGTCACTCATCGAAAAACAGGAACAGCCTCAGCCAGTCAAACGTCGGAAACGAAACAGCACAGTTTCCAGAGATATGCCTGCAGGTACACTTTCTTTGCCACGCCCTAAATCAGATCTAAAAGATGGGACGAAAGGAGCCGATGCAAATAAGAAGCAGAAAGTCCCTAACAGTCAGAATACACCATATTCACCTACTGTCACTACTCCTGCTTCGATGTCAGTTGAGTATAGTGTCACCGACGCAAGTGTCGGTAGAAGAGGTTCTAATTCACCAGTTCCTTCCGAGTCAGGAAAATCACGTCGCAGAGCGTCTGTTTCTCCAACTGGGCAAAACAATGGCGGAGACTCAAAACATCGGAGTAAAACTATTACAAAACCTCAACGACTGGTGCAATTTAAAGACGCTTCAATGCAAACCGATCCTATTGAAGATGAGGTGCCGTGGTGGCGACTAGATCCGAAGATGTCGCCGCCCAGGCCTCCCCGGCTTCCTCTTAGGAAACGATTGATGCGAAGTATGCTGCGAGATAGAGACGAAACAGGAAGTATTTCAACTGAAGATAGAAAGCGGAAGTATGATGAAGTGTCATCGAACCCGGAAAGCACTCCTCCTTCCAAGTCTCCCAAATTATCCTGCGGCGGAAGTGTATCTGTGCCGAACGCCACGCCAACAGATATCAAGCAATCTGCAGAAACAGAACGAATGTCTTTGCAATATACGACTGCAAATACTGTTAAGTCGGCGGCACAGGACTCGGTAACACAGATATCAACCATACATGTGCTTGATATCCATGATAAGTCCACGCCACCACCTGGTCCTGCCCTGGCAGATATTTTTGCGGATTCTGATAGTACCACATCCTACCCAAGCCAAGGCTCTGTGGCTGCAGCCAGGTCGCCCACTGAGCTATCACCGAAGACTGATCAGTCCCAAGTCAATGGAAATCGATCTGAGCTGCAAGTACAGCTGCCGACACCTACCACCCCTTCAACGCAAAGCGCACCTACGCCTGGCCCAGTTTCCCTACAGTCCCCTTTAACGGTTGTGCCGCATTTAGCGAATGCCAATTCTGTATTCAATACTTGTCTGGCGCAGCCTAGCCCAACTCGTACGAAGAAACTGAGTTTGAAGGATTACGGAAAGCGGAAGCAAAAGGTTGAAGTCGTTGACAAAGCCGACGAAAGGCTAGGAACGAGGTATTCAACTGAGGGTGTACCCTCAAATTCTGAAAGATCACCCTCGCATTCGAGTCCCTCAGAGGAACCTCGAAAGCTCGCTGATCATTCATCAGAATTGATGCAAGTGGTAACGAGTCCGTCTTCAGAAATGTCATCTCATATGATATTGGATCCTACCAGAGTACCAACTGGGCCAAAAGAACACAGGACAGGAAATCACTGGCATGTGCGGTAGCGTTGTTGTGTTCTGGCCTGAAGCCTAATAATTCTTTCCGCTTTTTCCATCTTTTCATTCTTTCTTTCTTTCCGTAGGGTGGTGCAGGTTGGGGGTTTGTCGGTCATCGATCTTTTATTCTATCTCATTTAACTCTTTCTGAGACCTTCCTTTTGAGAATTGTTGTTCTTTTGATGTTTTGTGTTTTTAAAGCCTGGGTTAGGGATTATTATGGAGTTGTTTTTCTTCTCGGTTTCCTCTGACTGGAACTTATTTTCTACTTTTGTTTCTTACAAGAGGAGTGCTGGAAAAGTACTTCTTTGATTTGGTATTTTGATTTACCTCTGTGGGTGTTTGTTCCTTTTTTCTTTTTGACTTTGATGACTTTTCGGACCCCATCGCTGACTCGCTACTATTGTACTGTTGTATATTATCTCTTGGGAAAATGGGTGGGGAGCTGTATCGTATATACCTTGGGTTGGAGTCAGGTACAGACAGGCCAAAAGGATTTCAAAAGCGAAAGTGGTTGATGTGCGCGTTTTTGTAAATAGCTTGATCTTCTCATAAAAATAGGTTGGAACTGAGATATCTGTTTCGGCGTTTAGTATTCTTCAGTATTTCAAAGATTGAACAAGGTGGATGTGAACTACGTTATTTAAGCTCGGACTGGTGAGTCAGCAACCTACACGCCAATATTTAGAGGTAGGACAGCTTTGTCGCCATCACACTTGATCCATTGCAACCATACACGTCAAATATCGTAATCCCAATAACCAATTTAATCATGGCTGAATCATCTCTAGCTGCGGACCTTTTGGCTGATTTTAACGAATCTGAAAACGAGGATGAGGACTTTGGCATAGAAAATAAAGCGTCACACTCCCCTGAGCCCAGTCGTAGTAAGTCGCGCGACTTTCTAGAACTAGATGGGGATGAAGAAGAAGACAGCTCTGAGGACGAAGAGATGGGAGGTGTATTTTCAGGTACAACGCGTGGGGAATTAGACCTGGCAGACGATGACGACGAGGAAGCGAGGAAGGCAAAGGTGGAGAAGATGCAGTTGGGCGGTGTGGACGATGTCAGGAGTGTGGCTGGCTTGATGAAAGTTCTTGAGCCCGTCTTAGAGGTATGTGTTTTCTACATCCAGTCTTATCCTCTCCCATTACTCTCGTTGATTTCTCTCTCCTCTACACCGTTAAAGTTAATGCTGACTTTTGGAATAGAAAATCGAACATTACAAGGCCCTACCGCCATCGACAGGGCCCCAGGGAAGTGTCGAAGATAATCCAGAGTACAAGCTTCTTGTCCAGTCCAATGCCCACGCCGTATCTATCGATAATGAAATCATCCTCGTGCACAAGTTCATTCGTGATCATTATGCTGTTCGATTTCCCGAGCTCGAGAACCTCGTTACCAACCCGTTGGATTATGCGAAGACTGTCTCCATTATTGGCAACGACCTGGATATCAAATCCCTCGAGGCCCGGAATGGGAATCGCCTGCGTACCTTTTTAGATGGCCCTACCTTGATGATTGTTACCGTAGAAGCGACAACCACATCTGGTCGTGATTTGTCCGACAAAGAGCTTGCGGTAACAATGAGGGCCTGTGAAATGACCCAAGCCCTCGACAGTGCGAAAAGAACAATTACCGCATATGTTGAATCCCGCATGTCTATCTTTGCACCCAACACATCAGCTATCGTTGGATCTCAAACTGCTGCGCAGCTCATTAACTTTGCGGGCGGTTTGAGAGGACTTGCTGCTACTCCGGCTTGCAACATTCCAGCCTTGGGTTCAAAACGACAAACCCAAGCTGGGTTGGCAACAAATATCGGAATCCGGCAACAAGGGTACCTATTCAACTCCTCAATCATCCGTAACATCCCAACGGATCTGAAGAAACAAGCTATGCGGATTGTTTCTGCCAAGCTTATCCTGGCTGCCCGTGTTGACTTTTCCCACTCTTCAACTGACGGATCTCAGGGCGAAGACCTCAAAGAACAAGTTCTTGAAAAGCTAGAGAAGCTCACTATACCCCCACCGAATAAAGGACCGAAGGCATTGCCGGCACCCGACGACAAACCTGCGCGTAAACGTGGGGGAAGAAGGGCAAGAAAAGCGAAGGATGCCACTGCAATGACGGACCTACGAAAGGCACAAAACCGGATGGCCTTTGGAAGACAGGAGGCGGAGACAGGGTATGGGACAGGTGATAGCACACGAGGACTTGGAATGATTGGTCAGGAACAAACTGGGCGTATTCGTGCGCTGCAGGTTGATCAACGTACTCGAGCAAAACTTGGAAAATACAACCCAGGGTGGGGTACCTCAAATCCTGCTGCTGGTACCCAGTCCAGGATTGGAGGTGCACAATCCATTCTTGGTTCTCGATCATCTGCCGGGCCAGGCCTTGCAGCTTTGGGCGGGAGAAGTACCTTTGGTGGCGCGGGGCCTAGTGGCACAGCTAGTAGTCTGGCTTTCACCCCGGTACAGGGCATTGAGTTGATTGACCCTAAGGTAGCTGCCGAAAGGAAGAGGAAGGCTGCGGCTGAAGAGGATCGTTATTTTGCGGGAGGGACGTTCAGTATGGTCGGTGGCGGTACAAGCACGCTGCCGAATAAGAAGCTCGATACCGGAAAAAATAAGGGATTGATGTTGCCGCCTTCAATACCTAGAAAGAGTTGATAGATGGAGCAGGAAAATTGCCTGAATCTATTGTAGAAGGTTGGTTCTCGACGGGTCTCGTTGGTTTTTGGGTGATTTTGTTGGGAAAATGTCGAAGCATTGTTTTCCAAGAAGACTTGATTGAGCCCGCCGCGTGTATTTAGAAGCAACGCACAGGGACGGTTAAAATTTTCACGTTCATGGGATAGGCGTTTATTACTCAAATGGTACTATTTCCTCTTCTTTCCATTCACCTCTGTCTCTATAATCGTGTTAACAATGCTGGGACTTTTGTCAGTATCTTTAGCAGAAAAGGTAATCTGGTCTGAGATAATTTTATCTGTAATGGAATTGCAGGCGTGAGGGTTTCTTTTCTTGCCATGGGCCATTACAGCAAAGTCGGGATTGTGATATTGTTCACCTTAAGAATATAAATACATAGCTGTATCCTTTAATACGGAGATTTTAAAGACAATTTGGTACTAGTGTTGGGGATCCCGTCAAATGCTCTAAACTCCGATGCCAGACCGGAACAGCGCGTTGTCTAGAGATACATATACCTAAATTCCGCTTTACCTTCTACCTCATTAATTTAATTGTATTCGGTCATTCAAACTGAGGCTGGATAGTTTTTCATCAAACCTCTAGTTGTATGCCCTAGTAGGAATGGGGGAAACCAGACATCATAACTAAGTATTGGCCATCAAGGGAAAATTTCGGTTCAGCTAAAAATCCTCATTGCGTAATTGGTAACCCCAGGACACCGGGTGAGTTTTTGTGGTCCAAAGAAATAGGGCTAGGGTTTCGAGATTTAATATCATGACTCAGCAAGCACCACGCGACGCGCAGGAAAGAAGCTTACTCTGAGCCCATCTGTCAACACCACCTATAACCAACCATCATCCAACTTGCTACTGAACCGATTAATACCACTCTAGTTTCATTCATCTAGGAAGTGCGTAGGTACACTCTGCAGTTAACAATATCCTTTACCCTCGCCATACCCAACCTGCAATGGAGGACGTAGTTGTCCAATCCGTGGTTCGCCTCCCATCGCCCCCCCCCCCCAATCTGCAAACAGCAAGCGCAAGTGGTCACCATCCTCGACGTCTCCATCTCCTCGTCGCTATCGCTCTCCTCCGCGAGGTCCAGCTCGTGGGGGCCCATCACTTCCTGATATCGATCCCCAACGCGCCATGGAACGCGAGCGACAACTCGCCGAGCGGATGCGTCAGCGGGAAGCGGAGAAGGAAAAGGAACCGGAAAAGCCAAAACTCGACCCGAAAGCCGAATATGAAAAGCTCTTGTCCATGAGATCTGGTGGTACATATATCCCACCCGCCCGTCTGCGCGCTTTGCAGGCACAGATTACCGACAAGAACTCAAAGGAATATCAGCGCATGGCATGGGAAGCTCTGAAGAAGAGTATCAACGGGTTGATCAATAAGGTTAATGTTTCGAACATCAAACACATCGTGCCGGAGCTTTTTGGAGAAAATTTGATCCGCGGAAGGGGGCTTTACTGTAGATCGATCATGAAGGCACAGGCTGCATCTTTGCCATTCACCGCTATTTACGCTGCTATGACCGCCATTGTCAATACGAAATTGCCCCAGGTTGGTGAATTGTTGTTAAACAGGCTAGTGGTTCAATTTCGAAAAGCGTTCAAGAGAAACGACAAAGCAGTGTGTCTTAGCAGCACTACATTCATTGCTCATCTCTGCAATCAGCAGGTCGCCAATGAAATTTTAGCCATTGAAATTCTTATGCTGCTCCTGGACAAACCGACCGACGATTCCGTGGAGATTGCCGTAGGTTTAATGCGAGAAGTTGGTGCTCATCTTGAACAGATGTCACCTCCGGCAAATAACGCCGTTTACGAACAGTTCAGAACCATTCTTCACGAGGCTAGTATCGATAAGCGCTCTCAGTACATGGTTGAGGTTTTGTTCCAAGTGCGTAAGGACAAATACAAGGATCATCCCATTATAAGGGAAGAACTTGATCTAGTGGAGGAGGAGGACCAAATAACTCACAGGACCGAGCTTGACGATGAGATCGATACAGCTGATGGTTTGAATGTGTTTAAATTTGATCCTGACTGGGAGGAACACGAGGAACTTTATAGAAAGACGAAGGCCGAGATTTTAGGGGAAGGTAGCGAGGGTGAAAGTGATGAGGAAGAGGATGATGATAGTAGCGATGAAGAAGACGAGGAAAAACAAGAGGATAAAAAAATCGAGATCCAAGATCAGACTAATACAAATCTGGTCAATCTGCGAAGAACGATTTACCTTACTATAATGTCTTCGGTTGATTTTGAGGAATGTTGTCACAAGCTTATGAAGGTATATAATTACACATCTATGCTATATACAATCGATACTGACAGCTTGGACCAGATTACGCTTCCACCTGGGTTGGAGAAAGAACTTTGCTTGATGGTCATTGAATGTTGCTCCCAGGAACGTACATATAGCAAATTCTATGGCTTGATTGGCGAACGGTTTGCAAAGTTGAACCGACTCTGGACCGAACTATTTGAGGACTGTTTCCGAACGTATTATGATACGATCCATCGGTATGAAACTAACCGTCTACGCAATATCGCCCGATTTTTTGGACATCAGCTGTCCAGCGATGCTCTGGGTTGGCATGTCCTCTCCGTTGTTCACATAAATGAAGAGGAGACCACTTCATCGTCACGTATTTTTGTCAAGATACTTTTCCAGGACTTAGCAGAATGTATGGGGATGAAGAAGTTGCAAGAACGATTAAAGGATCCTTTCCTTCAGAACGAATACACTGGGCTTTTCCCTAAGGACAACCCTAGGAACACTAGATTTTCTATCAACTACTTCACTAGTATCGGAATGGGTGGTGTTACCGAAGACATGAGGGAGCACCTCAAGAACAACGTCGAAGCTCAAGCGGCTATTGCCCCGCCGCCACCAGCCGGAGATGTGTCCGATAACAGCTCAGTTAGCTCAAGGTCGAGCTATTCGTCTTATAGCGGAAGTTCACGCTCCAGGTCCCGATCTCGTTCAGGATCATATGACAGTCGATCAAGGAGCCGGAGTAGAGGGAGAGCTTCTAAAGGGAAAGGCAAGGCAAGAAGCTACACTCGATCTCTTAGTGGAAGCGACCGTAGCCGGAGTCGAAGCCGTAGCCATAGCCTCAGCAAGAGTTATGACTCTTACTCTCATCGGTCAAAGTCTTACTCACGCTCTCGAAGTCGATCATTATCGCCATATGCAAAGAACATAAAACGAGAAAGATCGGTATCGAGGGGTTCCGGGAGCTCGAGATCTCGGTCTCGGTCTCGGTCTCGGTCATACACGCCAGCGAAAAAAGAGGCCATAGAATCGCGGGGAAGGCGGCGATCTAGATCTTACTCATCCTCTATTGACGTTCGATCCCGAAAACCCATTGTTAGAGGCCGCAGTTACTCTTCAGCCAGCCGCAGCCCTTCACATTCCAGCAGATCACCGACCCCAAAACGCTCCGTCAAGAGCAGAAAGGACAGCTATTCCCCGCCACCGCGAAGCAGACGGCGAAGTCCTACTCCAGGTGATAGTAGAAGTAGAAGCCGGAGTCCAACGCCAGTTCGTAGCCCTATTAGGGAAAGGGATTCGGGGAAATGGGATCGTTATGATGGCAGAAGGGGTAGGGAAGATAATTATCGGAGAAATGGTGGAAGAGATAGGGGTCATCCAAGGTACGGGAGAGATAGTGATGCTAGGAGAAGAACTGAAGGACCTGCTGCTGAAACTAGCGAACAAGGCGGAAGAGGGGCAGGGAGAGTTAGAGCTGCCGACTTCTTGTGAGTTAAGTAGAGATTATAGTTATGGACACAAGGAGGGAGGGGAGCATTTATCCTCCGTTTCTGATACATACTCACAAGTTTTGCTGTATTGTTTTCAGAACGGTTTTTAAAATAATTTCATTATATCGTAGGCGAAGGTTTCAACGGACTTAAAAGTATGGGGTCTTGTACAACGTGAGCACATGGATCAGGGTATGTTTGGTTTGAGATACTTGGCGGGTGGTATAAATTGCTGTTTTCTTTTCTACTACTTAAATGTGGAGAACTGCGCTGTGAGCTAAAATTATAATGTTCATCTGGTCTATTTTCTAAGGACAATGAGTAAAGTAAGGTTTTTGTGCCTTGTTTGATCAATGTATGGCACTGTGATGTATTTACAATGATTTTAATGATTTTTGCTATATGGCTTAGAAATCCGTACCAACCTTAAGACCAAATTCCTATTTTAGGTCTAAGTACATTCTGAATGTAGTTATGAGGACAGGAAAATCATAGTGAGGCTTTGATTGTGCTGAACACCATGTATTGATAGAAAGAAGGATACATATAAAAGTACACTAGTCAATAGACTATCTGGAAAATGATGGAAATTAGAACCCATTAGTCTGTTCAAAACTTTTCACTCGCCCCTCCTCCGACTCTGTTGTATTCATCTCTCAATTCCCTAAGCATTGCTCTCCCCTCTTTATCCAGGGTTCTAGCAAATGCCTTAACCCCCTCAGTTCCTAGAACCTCGAATATAGCATTAATGCTAGCTTTGATATCGCCATCAAGCCCTCCTGCTAAATCACCCTTAAGAATCTCACCCAGTAGCCCGCCAACGCAACTAGCAACCTCGCGTTTCTCACGATCCCTAACGCTGTTAACAAGATTATCATCGACCCCCGCTCTGGTCTTACCCCTGACAGAGTATGCAGATGGCTCACAGAAGGTTGCGAGCAGCCGGTTGAAGCCATCGGCACACCTATCAGTAATTATAGGCATTTCTGATGTTATTGTACTAGGTAAAAGCCATGGGGGGTGGAGTATTTTGTCGGATTTCTTGCGCTCCCTAGCTGTTTTGCGTTTAAAAATACAATGAAGTAAAGATTGGAGGGCAGCAACAACAAGATGATAGCGGCCGCCCCTGACCCTTCTTCGGTGCTGAGACAAGATCAACCGTAAGGTATTGCACAATCTCAGAAAAATTTCATCCGCAATAACTATAACGGGAGTGAATTGAGGACCTGACGATGATGAAGTGATTGCTATAGATGCCAGGGTTTCGTCGATGTTGTATTGCATTACTGCCCAAGTCTAGCAGTACTTGATTAGCTAATATCTCTGTGTGGATAATGGGGACGTAGCTTACCTTTTCGCGCAGAATTATATCCATGCAATCTGTCACGGCCAAGAATTCGGTAACAGTCTTAGTTTTGGGCAAGTTCCGTGCTAGCTTTGAAAACACCTTCGAAAGGCAGTCAATGATTATTTTCGATTTATCTTCCTCTTCCGGGACTATGTTTCAGGCGTTAGCTAGAGTCATAACCTGGAGTCATAAATTGCCATTGCCACTACTAGTTTCCTTTAATGAGGGGAGCTCACTCTTTGCTCCATTGATTAAAACCTTTAGTATTTCCCAATATGCTGGCGCTGTGGTTTCTCCTAACGAAAAACACCCTTCGATAACTACCTCCATACAGTCTAGATAGACCTCTGGATCCAAGCTAATTGATACCATTTCACTATAGGCGAGAATTATCTCGGATCTATAGAATCGTGCGAATGCTATCGGGGCGTGAGTAATAGGTTAGAATTGGAAGATCTGGGTGCAAGGGTCAAATGTAAACATACGCGAATCTAATATCGCTACCACCAATGCTGTGGTTTTTATGACTTCCTCTGTAGTATTAGAGGAAGCGCAAAGTATCATAACGGCTTCTGCAACGATATGGGCTGCGTCTCCTACTCCATCCTCTCCTAAATGTTCTGAGGCTGTCAAGATTTTAGGAAGAGTTCCCTTTATACGCTCAATAATATTTTGCGCAAATCCTAACACTTCTATCGTAGTTTAAGCATAAGATAGTCACAGAGAAGTACATTTAAAGAAATGCTCACCTTCTTTATCGCTTGGACTTCGGTCAAGTGCCCATATTTTTCTCCATGCCCCAACCAAGTGCCCATTTATTTCTCCAGTCTCCAAGAAATTTCGTAGCTGCTCAAGAATTTTTCCCCGCAATTGTTGAACATCATTTCTCTCCCCTGCTCTCCAAAATTCTTCGATGATAATTTCGCACGCCTTTACCGCTCTTATCGTTGGCTTCTCAGAGTTACGGAGAAACTCAATTTCAGCAGATTGCACCAATTTTGCTAAGAATTGACGACTTCTTTCTTGATCCTTTGTCGCAAACATGCATCTGTTTTCAAATTAGTACAGCTCAAGACATAGCATTTTTGAGTAGACCTTAGTATCTTTCTTCCGGCCTCCCCTAGACCACCCTCCTCCAGAGACCACGCTATAAACCCGTTCACGTCTCTTGCCTAAACATAATCAATTTTTTAGTTTCAATATAGAAGTAATACCACTCACCAGAAAAGAGCTGGCATTTCCCAAAGCCCACAGTCTTGCAACTAGCCCCTTCACTGCATCCCTCAGGAGCACAGACGATCCCTCTTTCTTAAGAGAGGAGTCGAGTAATACCAAAACATCCAGTATCCTCTCTCTAACGGTCCTTTTAATAGCCTCCAATGGAAAATTTGAGATGCTCTGGATCAAGAATATGTAACATTCCACATCTTTTTCGGTCATTGAAACACCTCTCCCCTTTTCTATATCCCCTAACGATACGTTCATATCCTGAGAGATTTCAAAACGGGACTCTAGTTTGGTTACGAGTGCAGCAAGTATAGCGTCTATGTTCATTTGTGAGCAGCTGAAGGAAACTAGAATCCTCAAGTGGAGATAAGAAACAAACCTTTCAGCGAAGGGTTCTCGTAAGAAACACCTCTAACTAGCATACTCTGCCATAGGGTTCTTCCAGTGAGATCGCTCGCCTTCTGTGCGGTATCATTTTCGATAGCCATACTCAAAAACTCGTCCACAAACCCTGTCCGGATATCCGACCGAGCTCGCTCTAAAACTGTCATCCACCTGCCAACGACGCCTAACACAATCGCAACACCAAGGTTTTCCGGATTTATATCTCCTAAAGAACGATCCCAGCTCCTCGTAGTGCTTTTCATCGCTTTGATAAACACGCATATCACCTCAGCTTGGCCCTCACCGTCCGCGCTATCCATCAAAACTTCTCCAATAAATAAAGCCCTTCTCGCATCATCATTTGTCCCACGCTCGTCGTACTTCCTCAATCTCTTCAGGATTTTCCCTTGCTTTCCCCCGGCCAATCCACTCTCGATTTGAAGTCCCCTCACCAAAGCTCTCCATCCTCTCCATCCCACCTCACCATCAAGAATTTTATCGGTAATCTTATTTAGCAAAGGTCTAATTTTGTTATGGGTGTCCTCTCTCTTCACGCCTCTTAACAAACCGTCGATGACAACCCAGCTGTTTTCTTGGATGGCGGTTTTAAGGACATTCTCGATCTGCCCGGGTAGTAGAGAAGCTTCCATCCGCAACGAAAAAAGTTTTGCAACTCTATCACTCTCCCAAACCCCATCTCGAGCCCCGTCTTTGCGCAATTCTGCGATCCAAATATTTACAAAACCACCTAGGTCTCGAGCTTTGATAAAACCGTCAATTAAGAGCTTCATAACCTCATAAACTGTCTCTTGATCTGTAAAATTATTTGTGAGTGAACTAAAAAGCTTCAAGGCCCGCTCCTCATTCCCCTTCCCAAGGAATATGTCAAAATCAAGCTTTAGGGCGATTGCGATAATATCCCACCGAACGGCTGAGCTTGTGTTGCTGTGGGAAAGGTTTGATATGCCATCTACAAGCTCAGCTATCGTATTAGAGGAGATGCTAGTACCAGTCTCAATGAGGACTTCCAATAGGCTCATGACTATTTCTGCATCTCTAGTATTAATGGTTTTGATAGGAAATAAGATTCCAAGAATCGCGCTTGTAATTGATTCGAAGATAACTTCTACAGTCGTTGAGTCCGGTTTCCTTCTCTTGGTGTGCGAGGTGATGGCAATCCTAAAGATATTGGAGAGGCCGTCTTTCTGAGCCTTTAGGGGCCTTAGTAGAGGCTTTAGATCTTTTGATGAGAGCTCTGTAGTCCCCAAATCTGTAGGGAAAAGAATTTCGTGAGGAAAGATAAACTCAGCTAATAGCTGTTCTAGTTTACGTCGAAGGTTAGATGGAATAGAGGGTGTCATTAACAAATGAGTTGCGGGAAGAAGACAGGACGTTGAGAATATCATTGAAAGCTATGTTTTTCCAGCTGTCAGATAATAGCTTTACAATCGTATAAAGGAGGATCCAGTCACTTTGTACCTTCTTTAATTGCGGATTTCCCCATACACAACTCCGCCAAACATTCACCACAGTATTTATCCATTCATTCTCTATTTCTATCCCTTCCTGGATTAGTACGTGACAAGCCTCAAGAAACGATCCTAGAATCTGTGCCCCGATTTCCGCGGTTCCTCTTAAAACCGCAACTATATTTCCGTCTCTTCTTCCAGCACCTAAATTCTCTTGAATGTACGACAATACGCCACTGACACTTGCTAGAAGACCCTGAAGTCTCGAAGGTGTTCGCCGAAGCAACAGAATTTGTTCTGGAGAACTGGCGGAAGAATCAGAGGACAGTCTTTCTTTCGGTGTGCTGTAGATCTCCTCATGCTCCATATCAATGTCTTCATCCCTCCCCAGAACTGTGGGGGATGTTAAGTCTCTCTTCTGTGATAAAGCCGCTTCGGAAAGTGCTTTTGAGATAAGTTGGAGAATATTATGTTTCTTTAAAATCCCACCGGCAGATGAAGACAATGGTAGAAGGCGTAACAAAAAAATCCAGAACTCTGGATCACACCGTGCTCTTTTGAAGTAAGCAATGGAACTGAGAACATCTATATATGATTGACTGCAAAGAGAGGTCTTACTCTGGCGCACTACTGTCATCTTGCCCTAATCTTTGCACCAGCCATTCCAAAAGCCAATCCTCTTTCTGCGGAAAATATATATTTTTCTCGTTTTCTTTTCCGGCAGTCTTATCAAGAATTGTTGAAGCGAAGGGAAGTAGTGCTGCAAGGGGAACATCGCGGGAGCGCAAATGTTTAGTGATATCTGCCGTTTTCTGGAGCGGAATGGTCTATGGGATGTCAGCTGGAAAATTGAATCTCAAGTATGATTCGGCAGTATAATAAACCTACAGGGTCCAGAGAGGTCGACATCAGGAAATAGCTTAGGCTGTAGAGAAGGAGGAAAGATTTGTTAGAATTCAAAATGCTACGAGCATGGATTAGAGAAAAAATCTAGGAGCCGCATATTTTTTTTTTTTGATATGACTAATCAATGAGACACCCTTGCCAAATGACCTTGCACCAGTACTACATACATGTACTACGCAGAAGCTGCGTGAGGTACGAACCTTGGCGCCAAGGAGTTTGGCTGGGCACGAGACAGATGTAGTAGAGCTTATACTATAGTCGCCCGCCGTTATAACTAACCTACATACTCCAGATTATTGGTACAGTAGGTAAGGTTTTATCGTTTTCTATGTTCGAATCACAAAACCCGTCCGTTACAGCAGATTTGTGTCTTTTTGATATTCGGTATAGCGGAGGCAACTGTACATGTACAGCGCCGGACAGTCAAAATCAACCCTCATGTTCTTTTCAGGCCAGAAACTAGTCCTAATCGGGTAATAATAATCATCGAATCATCCCAATAGGGTAAGAATTATCCCAATTAATGTGGCCGCCTTGGCATAAAGCTATTAAAGTTATTATTTCACACCTATGTTTTTTTCGGGCAGATTGCACCAAATGTTTGAGAGGTCATAGTGCAGCCAGTTCTTAATTATTTTAAATCCCCTTTTATGGGGATGTTTACAACCATGATTAGACCCATTATACAAAAGAACATTATTTTTGGACAAGTGTTGCGTTGTTGAAAGTCGATGGGGTGAAGGGGAGTCGGTGGTTGCTCTGGCCGGCTGGTTTTGGCTGTCCGACACCGTACCTAAATACACTACCGCAATGTACAGTCGTTTCTGGGTCAACGGCGAACCTGGCTCGATAACTACTCTTTGGGCTGATGATTCTCAGTCAAAGCAAAGGGGTCGGCGCACTTTTGTTGTCTTCGGTTGGCCTATTCGCCATCGAACCGGTTTCGTCGTTGACCCAGAGACGACTGTAACGTCCTTGGTCTCTGTAGTCATGCAGTCACGAAGCAAGGCCGAGTATTTTCATCCCAAGGTCAGCGCCCATGCCTAGCCAATTGTTTGAATTTATCAAGATACAATGATCGACTCATTCATTGCTTAAGTAAATAAGAAGTCATCGTTATGACCATTTTCAACTTCTTTTCTCCCCCATTGATTGTTAAAGAGTTGATATAGAGCCTTGTCGGATCGAGGAGAACCACTCTCTAAGTTGATTTACCAAAATATTAACACCCCGTTCGGTACCACCTCAATATCATGATATCCAGCCCAATATCGTGATATTGAGAAAATATGCAATATTTTTTCTTGTGGTATTGTTCTGGCATCCACAAAATGTCAACTTTCTCAATCTACTATCTATCCAATATCACGATAAAAAATGCTCCAACCTAAGGGCCCGTTCGGTATACATGATGCTTGGAAATCGCAATGTTGCAACATGGAAAGATTGCAACCGAATCTATCATAATTAAAATATCGTGATTTTGAGAATATTGTGTCATGTGCGGCAAACCTAGAGGTCAGGGTGATGGTCACTTTTTACGTTGTTATCGCAGTTCAAAAATTTGGGTCTGACCCAAATGTAAATTGTGTTGCAACCGAACGGTGTTGGGCACATTTGGTGTCACGGATTAGTCAGCGTTCACGTGACGACACAGACAATGCTTTTGTAAGGTGTCCACAGCAGGACTACCTCATAGTTAGATTTGTACTTTCCTCTTCTTCTTTTCCATCATCATTCATTTTGTCGTCGTCGATAGCGCAAATGAAATTCTCCCTCTGTCTATAAAACTAAGAATTTATTTATTTCATCGTTCGGATTGTCGTGAAGCCGAACACAAAAAGAGAGTGAACACAACAGCCGGCCAACAACGGGCCCTAAATATTTGAAATAGAACCACTAAAACTAGCGGCTCAACCCATTAAGTACCGCAGTAATTTGTTTCGGGGACACCCACATTGACGTTGAAATTACTTGTTCTGGTGATTTGTCTTGAAAACGTCCCCCTAATCTTCCCTCATACGCGCTGTAAAAGGCAACTTCGACGTCTGTGTAACTGTCCGCTGAGAAGAATTACTGCGGTATGATACCCCAACTTGTGGTTGCAGCCGAACACACCAATTGTAACCACACTATCCACAAATATACTAGATCCCAAAAGTCACATATTTGGTTGCAATCTTTTCAGGTTGCAACCTCATATCTCAGTTTTGCCGAACGGGGTGTAAAAATTCCGCGTTAGTTGGAGTTTTTGTGTGAGCATCCCTGAGATCCCTGCCAAGCCCTCGAATTTGTATGGGGCTTGGCATATACATTTCAAACGGCGGGTTAAGTATCAAGTCCACCCTGTACAACTATGAGGGGGGGGCTTCAATAGGGCCTTCGGCCCCATCCACCTTTTGCGCCGTGGGTGGGCTGGCTGCCATGCAGGTACTAGCAAGATGACTTTATATTGGTCACTTAGAGAGTGGTGATCTTTAGTCTTGCCGCCCTCTAAGTTGACTGCACCTCCAGCTCCAAAAGCACGTGAGAAATATAATATGCGACATTACTACTCGTAATTTTTTTGCGTTTCCGGACTGGACTAGGTCCGCATATGGGCGTAAATCGTGCTTGACAACCATATTTTGGTGGTATGCGGACCCAGTCCAGTCCGGAAACGCAAAAAAATTACGAGTACTAGGGAGGAGCAAGCCGTTAAGTACAAAGAGTTTCGCAAAGGAACTTTTACAGTGCATATTAGAAGATAGCCCCTTTAATTGTCCACAGACATGAAATTTATAATTTTGAGTACTGATAAGCCTATACCTACATGTATTCCTCAAATGGTAAGGATTTACATATGTTATTATGAGTGTACTTGTGGCCAGAGGTTGTATTTTGGCGAGTTTTGGCCTGATACAGTATCTTTTCATATTGACATTGTTGCAAAATTTGAGATATATGCCAGCTATAGAAGCCTACCTTTAGTCGAGGCCATTTAGGTTAAGTTTGATCGTTCTTTAAAGAGAGGAATTTTATTAGCATGTATGTAGTTGTCGGTCTTTCCTAGTCTCGTGCTTATGCTGGAGAATCACACCATAGGGCGGACACGAGACTACATGTAGGTCTTTACCAATAAATGAATGATCAATCAATCAATCATGTTGGTCTTTCCCTTTCATCTGATCATGGACTATCACTCGATCAGATAGTTCATGGGGTATCACTCGACAACTAAGATTTTTAATTCATTAATCGCATGCAGTCTTAAAGGATTTCTGTTCATAGCAGAGCGTCAATATTAACTAAAGACTATTCATAGTTCTAGAAGCAAAGGTCGGCAATCAACGCCAACCAGGCATTATTTGGCTAAGAATGTCGTAGAGAGAGCGTTAATTAGGAGAGTGTTGACCGAACTCTAGGTCGTGTCATATGATATAGTTGTATTACAACAACTCTTCTCTTCCTAATATTCACTTATCAGAAACCGACAAAGCTTGAGCAGCTGGATTGCTTTGAGAAATAACCGATGAATTGCATATTTTTAACACTAGAACCTATCAAGTATAGATTATTAAATATATCGATTATATTATGCAATGAATTTAGTGACCTGTAACGTATTCACATGGGTATAGTTATATTATAGTAATGTATAGTTCTGGCTGAATATAATACCGTCTGTTTTAACTGGTCCTAGGCCTCCGGCCTTGAGCGCCCCCGTTAGGCCCAGTCCCAATCCTATTTTACTATAGATGTAGTGAAGCTTCCAATGGTCACCCTACATGTAGTTCGTTGAAATTCAGTAAGTCACTGTATATTCTGTATTAGTCAATCGGAATTGGTGTGATATACTTATACTCATTGTGGCTTTCCAAAAATATTATTCGGATCATTTTCCTGTAGCAACTAATTACATACACGTAGCTACAGGTAAATACTAACCAGAATTAGTACTGTCTGTAAATAGGTGAGATATCTGAATTATAGAATAACACCTGGTATATATTTGTCTAGAACTGGAATCAAACACTTGAGACTCCCTACCCAGTGTACACATTCATTAGGCCGTTCGGAATATATGTATTTGCTCGGTTATTTTTATCATTCGAAAGGTATTATAATTATTGGCAGCTCGAGGATCGAGCTCGTTGCTAAAGCTTAGACAAGTGGTCAGTAGCCGCGACCACTCAGTCGCTGTTTCTCTTGGTAATTAAGGAAATTCCTGGTTAAGAATAGTAAGTAGAAGATCTCTAAACCTAGGGAATCACTGCCTAAATCAAGTATTCCCTAGAAAAATCGCGGCTGAGTGGTCGCGGCTGCTGGCTGGCTTTGTACATGTATCGGCCTTCGAAAGCTCCGTAATTCTTATATGTAAGTGTATGTGTGGTGCGGGCTGATATAGTATACATATGCACGAAATTAATAATTCAACTACATTATTGTGAAAACTGAAGGTACTTTGCAGTGTATCTATCACCTTGTCATGAAGAATTTTGTATTACGATTGATTAATTGAATCAATCAAAGAATCAATCAACCAGAGTAGAAAGGACTGCGAAGGTATTCTACATACAAACTCACATGTATAACGGAATGATACAAGTCCACTCCGTCTATACGCCTAGACGATGACACTAAAACAAGTCATTAGACACTGTAGGTACGATATACTAAGAGCTACATGTATAAGGAAGTGAAAGATTAGGTCACCAAGTATCTGAGGTGTTCAGCATGAAGGGTCCGGGGAATGTCCTCTACTTGTAGAAAAGGATAGTAGTTTAGCTCTGGATTTTTGAAACTAATGGAATTTTTTAAAAGTAATAATAGACCCTATTTACAAGCGCCAAACTCACTCTAGTTTTAGTTGATTTCCCTCAAAAACTATGGTACTGCCCCATCATTAAACAAGCACATTCCACAAGACCAGACATTATTCTAAGAAATCTCCATTTCATCGTTTCCAGTACCGCTGTTAGTTCCAGACAACGTAGCTAAACCTTCGTTCCCAATGAACTTCTTTTCGTACTCCTGGAGAAAGGTCACACTTCTTCCCTGATCATAGAAGAGTTTATAGCTTCGCTGAACGTCGGAAACCTCAACAATATTGGATTTCCTTTTTGCTGCGATGAGGCTTGCAGTAGTGATAAGGTGAGAGCCGTAGCGAAGACTTGTTTCTTGTCCGATCTTAGCAAGGAGATTTAGGGCGTCGGCAGCAAGAGTGACCTCTTCTTCTTGGGCTCTGTATGGAAATCAGTAATCCATATATTCTTGCGTCAAATTACGGAAAGACAAACCGGATAGCGATAATCTCCCGAATTTCCTCGGGGCCATAGGGGTATGTCGGCATGATCACAACCCTATCAAGGAAATCAATTGGTAGTCCATGCGGACTTTTATAGTTTGTCCCACGGATCCTCGAGTTCCCTCTGTTACTAGCCATTATGACAATTGGTGCAAGTTCACTTTCCAGTGCGCGGTTGATGTATGAGAAGCACTCGATATCAAGCATGTGTACCTCATCAATAAATAGAACACCCGGCACAATCTCAGCTTTCCCTTCTTCCTTCCATTCGCCGACCTTCGTATTGATCTGGTCTCGCACTTCGCTTCTAATCTCGCCGGTATCACCGGAGAAGAGGGCAAGAAAACCCTGAGTGCGGGAATTAATGACATCGATTTCATGTAATGATACGGTGTGAACCACCTCCTTCCTTGTCTGGATCTCCCCTTCAGGACATTGGATGAATTTGGTGTCGGGTCCCATAGCATCATAATCCCGGGATCTTGTGAAAGAACGACCCAGCTTAGTGATTTTTCCTGAGGATTTGTCGATACTAATAATATCTCCGGCAATCACTTTTTCTTTACTGAGACTATCGATCATTTTTGTGCCCAGGTCATACATAGTCTCCATGTCTTGTGTTTTCATGGTGAGTTTTCCTTGTTTTTGGCCCTGATTATAGACCATAAATGTTAGCTAGAACCCTTGAGACGCACACCTTAGAAGTTAGACCCACCCCTGTAATAGATCTATCGATCTGAATCTCTACAACTTCTCCCTCGATTACTTCACTTTCTTCCTTAATCCGGACTCCAATGCTTTTTCTAAATGCTTGATTGAGAGCTTCTGTCTTTGACATCTCTAGGGAAAAAATCTCAGAACTCGCTAGCATAGTGAATGGGACATCAGGACCCAAGCTCTGCGCCATTGCCATCGCGATCGCCGTTTTCCCCGTACTGTGCCATACTTAATAACAGATAACCAGGGAAATAAAGGGGAATATCACGAATACCTAGGAGGTCCGGCCATTAATACCGCTCGTCCAGCAATCTTTCCTTCTTTCACCATCTGCAGGATAACAGCCGCAGCCTTCCTCGCGCGGGCTTGACCAACAAGCCCTTGGCTAGTAGCGCGTGGTTCAAGTGTATCAGGATCGATTCCAAGACCCCGTATATGGGAATGGGCTGCGATAAGGTTCATGCCTCGGATTTCTTTCGCTTCGCTGACAGTGGTAATTCCAAGGTTCTAGCCACGTTTATTAGTGAGTTTTAATGTCAGAATCGTGGGTGTTTACGTCAGAAACTTACCGCCATATTTGAAGTTAAGCTGCTAAGAAGATAATTATAAGGTTTTAATGATTGCTGTGCGATGGAGTGGGAGACGAGGTGTTGCGTTGAAGACTCAGGTTTGTGGGAGCTTTAGTCGCGAAACAAACAGAATCACCACGTGATCCTTGGCACCCTAGCCGCGCCGAACGGAGCCATCGATCAACTCCATGAAATGCTTAGGCGTATATTTGAGACTGATTATCTTTTGGCGGTCAGTCCAAATCAAACAGTAATTACGTTTAACTGTAGTCTCGTACCCAGCCTGTTACTTGCAGCAAACTGCCTAAGCATGGAAGTAGACTACTCTAGTTCAACTGAGCACCTAGCTGACATATCTGGTTCGGTCACGATTTCGATTTCTAACCGCCTAAGGATGTCCTTGCTGACCTAAGTGAATGACAACGAGAATTGCTTGAACAGGAACGAAATCACATGACGCCAACGATTGCAGACGAAAATAACTATCCCTAACCCTGATACACCTCAACCCTAGGGTAGATGACAATTGCAACACATTCTGACACCGGCAGTCAACTTTATTGTCTAGATGTAAAGTAGATAGTTGGCTGAGACCAGGTTTCGCAGCTAGGCGTTGATCCTTAATTTTCCAAATAAGATGTTTATATTGGAAGCAAGCTCCAATATTTTCGTGATAGCAACATTCTAAGAAACATAGCAAAGATCCTACAAGCAATTCTGACGGCTTAAGTTGGACAACGGTTGTCTTCTTGAAGGTTTTATGTACTCATCCTATTAGGCAAGATTTATTTTCTTATGAGCTGCGTAAATAAAACTTGGACACCTTCCCCTCAGCCACTGAACTGAAATCTTGAGCCTTCGATCCCTTCGATCCCAGCAACGGCAGTTCTGGGAGTAACCTAGAGAAGTGAATGTCAGGTCAAAATTATTTGAAGTACGGGGGCTAGTATAGGGTAGTTTACATTTTTACGCCTATACCAGTTCGTGAAGTCCTGAAGGGTGTATCTAATTTTCTTCCAATCCTTTATAGAAACGGCACTATATACGATGAACAGTATAATTAGTATGTCTTTGAAAACCATGGAGTGGGGTGCAAATGCGAGAGAATAATGGATAAATACCCTTCAAGCGTTTTCAAGAACTTTTGAGCCTCTGCTGGCGAGATACTTCCAGCAGGTAAAATCTCCAAAGTTTGTTTCATCCATTGTAGCCACGGCTCAGGACAGAGCTCCACAAGTGCCAATAAGACACCTGAAGAATCCGGCACACAGTCTCTTGGGAAGGAATACATCAAGCCACTTAGAATCTTTTGTGTAATGGCCTCCCCCTTACTTAGGGCCATAGCTTTGATTGCCTCTTGGACAGCTGCTGGATTATCAGGATATGCACTGGTCGGAGGTGAGGAGCGACCATAAGCTAGAACATCTCGGAGAAATTGAAGCACCGCATTGAGAGGGTCAACCGACTGTAGCTCTAACGATGCAAGCGAGGCCTCAAAGATTGGTTGGAGAAGAGAGGAGCGTATTAATTTGTAGGGATGGAACATAACACCATCTACAAGTAATCGAAAGAAATCCTCAATAACTACAGAGATTTAGCAAATCAAGAGAATCAAATGGATCACACTCTAGACCAGGAAGAACAAACCATCTGGAATTTCCGTAGGCGATACCCTATTCAGTAATCGGAACATGGTTAAGCATTGGTGTTCCAAAAATTGATAAATTGAGTTCCTTGTTGCCTCATCAACAAATTCTTCATCCGCGAACTCTCTAATAACCGCCCCAGTAACCCATAAGAAGCATCCCTGATTAGATTTCTCAAAACAGGCCACCAATTTAGTAGCCATTAAAGGCAGGAGTGGTAACATATCAGTTCGGTAACTGATCAGCATGCTTCGGAAGCACCGTGAGACACGCTCACAGATTGGCAGGAACTCAACAAAGTTCTCGAGAATTGTTGCTAGGATTGGGAACACTTCAGACCAGAAGCGGATCATGGGGTTTTCTTGACCCTTTGGAACATGGGGATGAACAACTTGGACGAATATTGATAGAAGCTGAATATGGTCTGTTTTCATTAGAAGTTGCGATACATTTTGGTGGGACACTAGATTGGAGTAATTCATACCCGCCAGCTCGCATTTACCCTTCTCATCGTTGGCACTATTTGCCTTGTCCATAAGCCTCTTTGCAATTGGCTCACAAAAGAGCCTCAGTGCTTCATAAATCTTGTCGAGAGGTTGAGCAGCAACAACATGAGCAACCCCGTCGGTAACCTCGTATAAGCTTTGTAGCGGAAGGTCACCAGCAACATGTTCGTAGAATTGGTGTAGTTGTCCGACATGGCCAACTAGCAATTTTCCACAATCCTGGCAAAAGAATTTCAACGCCATAGCTGCCGCTCGCTCAACTTCCTTGGAATTGTGTTTAAAACCATTGGTGATATAGTTAAGTTGTAACTCTAAATAATCGGGGTGCTTTGAGGTCCATTCGGTATATCTTCCTAAGACAAGAGTAGCTGCAAACCGTACCTTCTCGTGCTCGGGCAATTGTACCAAGGATGCCATGATTTGAGGCAAGACTTGATCCTCATCCGCTGGAACCATCCTTCCCATTGCCCGTAGACTGAACAATGGTGCTTCCAAGTCTTGCCAATTTGGGACCCGGCCATTTACCAGTTTCTGGCCATTCGCGGAATATTGCTGCATCCACTGTTGAACAAGAGCAAAGGCCTTTCCTAAGCACTCCGTTGACCCGATAACCTCACAGCAATCCTTCAAGACATCACCCATCGAGTGCCTAAATTCTCGGAACTTTTCCTCCGATTCCCTATCACCATCAAAGGGGTCTTCCTCACTGCCCTTTGGGTAATGAAGGTGCAAAACCATAATATCCACAAGTCCAGCAAAGATGTCCGCCAGTTGCGCCCGGGCTTCAATGTATTTCTCTAGGACCAGGTAATTTTTTAACTCATACCAGAAATTGAAGGTTAGTGAGATAACTTCACGGTCAGAGTCTCTTGCTGCACATTCAGCAATGGCCTCGACCAATCCACGGAATTCCAATGGTAGGCGGGAAATTAAAACAACCCAAGCTTCCCCTGCCTCAGAGAACAGTCTGGTGTATCCTCTAAACTTTTCCATGTCTTCCTCTTGAACAGATTCACCGATTTTTGATCGTAAAGCTAGGACACGTGGGTATAAAGCCTGTATAACGTCATGCGACTCGTCCACTTCACGGGTTTCCCTAAACATGTTGCAAAGGCATTCGACAGCTGAATCAAGGGCGTCCTCTGAAGAAAGGCCAGAGATAACCACATCAACAAGAGGTGTCTTGACAATATCGCTCACAGGAATTTCACGAAGCCACGAATTCAAGCATGAGATAAGAGCAGGACTCGGGGGGATATTGGCTACACCGGTTTCAATGGTCAAAAGTCAGAGCCCAAATTGCAAACCGCAAAATCGCCGAGAAATATCAATAGATCGGTAAGTACCTGTAGACTGAGAATACTGGACTAAAAGGGTCAAAACCCTCGAAGCATTATCTGTGAGTAGCTCTTGAGAGCGAGTTGTGAGTTCTTCTTCCTATATGGTTTAGTCAGAAAGTAGCAATATCGATGTATATATCGAATATTAATATCAAAACATACCGTCAACGCAACTTTTCTTCCTTCTGTGACTTCTTCTGGCAGAACACGCAGAAATTCCAGCAAACAGACACTGCTCTCCACATCATTTCCCAATGTCCTTACAACCAGTTCTATCACATCCTTCCATTCCAGCATCTGTAGAGCCAAACCAGCGAGGCAGACACATAATTGCGTGCGAATCGGCCGAGAGCCTTTACGATAGCTCATGAGAAGACTCAATAGAGAATCCCGCAGAGGGACTAAAGATTCTCGAGGTAGCTGGTGAATATCATAGGTAATCTTGGCCTTTGTCAGCGGGCGCTCAAGTTGCTACGGCGAACAAGAAATGACCAAACCTTTCCCTTCAATGTGGTTGCGGCAAAAAGTTTCGCTTCCACGGCAGCATTCTCGGACTGCAGGATCAAATGGGCAGTTGTCCACGCCTCGGGCTGTAAATATCGGGATTCCTGTCAGCGCCTTCCCACCTCCGGTCCTGTACCTCTGTTGCAGGGTTACCCCGCATCCCCCGTGACGAACCCCGCCATCATCCAGCTGAGCCTCAAAGCAGACGAAAAGCCATCTGCAGCTCCATCTCCCCATCTCTTTCTCTCCACCGACTAAAAAGCAAGAATATCCGAATAAAGACCAACCGATTTCTGAAACTGTTCCAGGAACTGTGTAGCTTGGTACTTCTGTTCCCTTTCGACGTTGCCTTGCATTGTGGCTAGGGCAGCAAGCACGGGCGCAAATTGAGGGTCGGCGGTGGGGCCATTTGAGAAAGCCATAATGAGGATTCTGGTTGAACCAAAAGAGCGAAAGGTTTAGAGATGAAAAGAGAGTGGTATGGTTTGAAAACTCCTCTTAGATAATTGATATTAAAAGACTTTATGGAGTGATGTTGGTGTTGGTGGGGTTCAGGAGGATCGAAGAAGAGCAGAGACACACCTTGTTTCTGAGCTTTGATCACAATTTTGGGGGGTTGTTCTGCCGCAACGGGCATACAATTCCATTGTTTGCTGGGTGCCGTTACATAGCAACAATGGTCTTGTTAACAAAGTTACACAGATGATAACGCAGATGCGTGTAGGCGCGTTTCTTGTAATCGGGACTTTCAATTTACAGGAGGGTCGTGAAACGATGAGCCCTGGCTGAAGCAGAGCATTCTCAGACTACATTGTGCATGGCGCTGTCAAAATACAACTATATCTATATATCGCCAACATGATGTTTTTATCTTCGTAAAAGCTTCCCTTCTCCTGTGATGATAATATCCATCGGCCAATCACTCAGGTTTACAGGTACAGTCCCATCTTCGAAGATTTGTTCTTTCAAAGCCAAAGCAACTACACAAGTTGTTTATGTCAACTTCCCAATCAGTGAAACCTCACCTAGAGCGTGATATCATACCTAGGATAGGCATTCTCATCTTGCCCTCAGCGCCTTTAGAGTCTACCAACTGTTTATATCGTGCTAGGAAGTAGTCGTAATACCCTTTGCCGTGTCCCAATCTTCTAAATCCTTCATCAAACGCAACCCCTGGCATCACGATTAAGTCCAGTCCTTCATGGTCTAAGCAATTACTTCTTCCAGGAACGGAATGCTCCGGAATGGTAGGGATGCCCCATGAATCGGGCTCCAACGATTCATAGTCGACTTGAGAGAACAGCGAAAGCATATCCATCAAATTCGGAGGTGATGACACAGAGGCGGGGTCGACCATGCCCAGGGATGATTTAGACTGTCTATGAATATAAGGCACATGTACCATCTTTTCTTCATAAAGTGTGAATGATTTATAGTAACCAGCGAGGGGGGTTGGGGAAGCGTAGCTATTTTCTACCTTGGATCAGTGCATCTTCAACAATGCAGGATGTATCAACTTCCTTCATTGGCATTGAGAGAAAAATACTAATGCGCCTCGAGGACTGGTATTCAGGGAGGGATAGTAGCGTGTTGACACATATCTGGGCTATGAAATTTTAGAGCTCCTCCTTAGAATCATAAGTGAGACGGGAATGATATCGGGGTTTCATACATTGAGAAAGAATATTCTCGGCGGGGAGAGACAAGATAGTTTTCTTGACAGAAGATCTGAGCTGCCGTTTGGCAGTAGTGATTACAGATCTAGTCGTCATTTGTTGTTCGGTGGAATTTTCAATCGTAGGAGGAGGGATAAAGGAAGACCCAACGAAAACATTTAAAAAGCGTATGTTGCACAAACTGTAGATTACAATTTTTTCAGGTCAGATTAAAGGGATTTAAGTACATGTATCTAGCCCTTTTTAAAAGTACGTACTTCTTATTTTCCTCTAAACTGCATGTAGGTGATATACATGTAGTGATATATCAAGACCAGCATCTTGAAAGTTCCGAAACATTAGAGCAGATCTGTGGCTTTTATGGCATCGGTATAACGAGGTGCGATTGTAGCCCCTGAATTGGCCCGTGCGCGTCCCGAAGCGGAAGTGCAGTACCAAAATACTGTACCTACTAGTTCTCGCCATCTTTATCACTGCGAGTCTACTAAGCTCTTTCATTACTCAACCCTCAAAAGTTTTGGGCCAGCAGCACGCCTACAAACGCGAGTATCTCCTACTCCCAACCGGAGCAAGCACCTCTCAGCAGGAACCTATCAGTTGATTATATTACCAGGAGGAAACATCCATAAAAATATGCTGTTACCCTCAGCGTTCTCTTTTGCGCTCTCGCTTGCCTGTTTCGCTCCGTTCACGAACGCACTCAATAATGTGACGTCCCTCACGGGAACTTGGTCATCTAAGTCAAATACTGTATTCACGGGACCTGTAAGCTCCAACTGGCAAAGCCGCCCGCCCAAAGCTTAGAGTGCCTTTGCTCAAGTTTCTCATTCAGCTCACGTGCATACTCCCTCACGTACATGTATCCTCAAGTTCACATGTAGCGAGTTACAGACTGAGGCTCTAAGCAGCATTTTGTGAGCTTATGCTAATACCCTAGATAGGATTTTTATGATCCAGTTACGGAGGACATGAAAGAGCCTCGTTTGACAGGCACATCGTTTTCTTTCACAGATGATGGCTACTTTGAAGAGGCAATATACTTAGCTATCGCAAATCGTCAGTTTGGAATACCATTCACCACCTAGAATCGATTCTAACAGATTTATAGCCACACATCCTTCTTGTACCCAGGCCATCATGCAATGGCAGCATGGGAAATATGATATCGCTTCGGATGGCACTTTGACCCTTACGCCGATAAAAGTCGACGGGCGACAACTTTTATCAGATCCGTGCAAATACACGAATTCCATATACACCAGATACAATGCTACAGAAATTTACAAGGTAATAGTATGATGTCCCGTAGTATTTCCAATCCGCTGACACCTCGTAGAGCTGGGAGATTGTACTGGATGAATATCGTGGGATGCACCGCCTAAATCTTTTCAAATTTGACGGCTCTCCGATGAACCCACTGTACGTTTCATTACGTCTATTATCATACTAAATGTTTCTAATTATTCTCTGTAGCTATCTTGCGTACCGTCCACCTCAAATGTTACCAACTCAAACGCTGAACCCTACGTCTTCAGCCGCGCCGAAAGCTACCGCGGCCTCAAAGATGAAACTGAAGCGATCTCTACCACCTAACCTAAAGAGTGCGGAGCATATTAATGCGGATAGATGGTGGTGGATTGGGGTCGCCTTGACCAGTATGGGGCTGCTCGGATATTTCTGTGTCTAATATATTTTGGAGTTTTTCATGACGAGTTGAGAGTCACGGTTCAGTAAATTGGGTTAGATCGGGCAGTGATTGATTCTCCAGGTACAGCGTTGGAGACTTTACACCACAAATGATAGACAGTATATCTTTCCTACTATTCCTTAGTGTTTACTATACATGTATATGAGGGCGCACCTTCAATTTTCCGTTGCTTTTGCCTCTTAAACCACCTAAATTTTTTATTCCAGCGGGACCGCCGAGGTTCCTTTCTTCATAGGGGAAGGATATAAGCGAATGTGGTTCGAGCTTTAACTACGCAGGAGGGAATTCCCACTCTGCCCAACAGACTAAGTACTTGCGGTTGACATAGGCCAGGACAGCGCACAATTCCACAGTGAATGACTTAGTAAATTCGAGTGTTCATAAACTAGGGAACGCAATAATAGAAGTCTGCATAGATACAGCAAAACCTATCATGGATCCACCCCCGTGATGGATTTAGAGTGAGTTATTTGTTAGTAAACTACAGGTATCGTTCCCTCCAACTGCTGGAAGTTTGATAGGGGGTGAAATGATGATAGGTTTCTCTGTAAATATACAGTACTAAAAAAGGGGCTATCACAAAACCGCATTGGATCAAATTCTGTAATCTTGCTGTGGCTAGACTTATGTAACGTAATGCGCATTCAATAAACAAAAATATTTACCTCAAAGGGAGTAGTAGTGTTTTCTCACCACATTACAGAGAATTCGCATTGAACAACACTGCTGCTTTGTATAAAGCCGTTTGTTTGGTAAATTAATGAATTGTAAGGAGTGCTGTGTTGAGAAAAGTACCGAACGCAAGCCCGTTGTAATAAAGCTGCAGACTGAGTTTCATAGTCTGGAGACTTTTTTTTAAAAGTATGGCATAAAAATACCTCTACCAATTCGAAAAGTAAAACACTCCCCATGAGGAAATGGAACTGAAAACAGAAGAAGACAAAAGAAATGGAGCATGAGAAGCATAGACAAAGAAAAAACTCGAATACTGTAACAAAAGAAAGAGACTTCCGGTGAGGTGTAATCGCTGAAAGACCATATCCATCCTGGTGGCTTGAGCTGCCTTTTGTATGGTGCGCCCACTCTTACAGGTGACGAAAATCGGGCAAAAAGTCAAGGGCTTATAACTTTACCAAAAAAGAAATTATAAAAAAAAAATCGGTAAGCAAAAAGTGTAGTACTAGTGATGATATTTAGTTTTTATTTCCATATTTTTCATATCAACTTTAGTTAAAAAGTTATGAAATTTGAAGTTGTGGATTTTTGTTTGTAAAGGGCATCAAGACTGAGCAAAGTGGAACAGTATAATATACCTATTTATAAACCCTCTAAAGTGAATTGCAGCATGAATGGACTCAGAGCAAAATGGCTGGGAATACATCAGCAAGCTAGCATCCACCTCCAAGGGATTGTCCTTTTCTCCAGAGGTTGATGCCAAGACAACTAGTCTCCCTACTCCTCTCAAGTCTCCTCACCACCTCGCCTAATCCGTTGAGCCTCCAGAGTAAGCTGGCACTTTCTAGACAACTCTCCGCCTCAATTTGTTCTCTTGAGTTTCCTCTGCTTCCTCTTTAACCAGGCTTCTCAAGTCTTCTAAAAGGTTTTTTAAACATTTCAGCGGTTTAACGGGGATAGTCTTTCCACGTATCACTTGAATCCGATAGAAAGATGTGGCTGTGCAAGATAGAAATCACGTTTAGATTATTCAAAGATTCATTAGCTAAAAACTCAATAATCTTTAAGGGCTCTGCTACCGAGTAGAAAATATTTAATAGCTCTGGTGAAGACTGTAGAGATCGGATAGTTGGGCGGGGAGGATCCTGAGCACTTATACTGCAAAAATTCCGTTCCCCTGCTCCTTCGTCTTTACTGAGTTCCGGTGGTGCCTTCTAGCAGAGAGAAAACAATACTACCGCTACCCCACTTCCCTCTAAGCATTAGCTGGTTCTTCTGGTTCCGAAGCCAACCACCCTTAGTTAAAGCCTTTGTGACACCTGCAGTCTTGGTTGTCGTACAACCGGAACCTGCATCAATGAGCTACCGCTCAGGTGTAAGCTTAATCATTGCTGTAGAGCTTTTCACTTATTATAGACTTCACAGGCAAGTTCCCTGCCACTACCGGCGGACTTATCATGCTCAGAGGATGTAGAGGATCGCCGAGCACTCAGAGCTTTCTTCTGGCTGGTCTTCTAATCATTGGTGAGTCATAAACTCGTCAGTTATTGCTCCCATGAATAGATCCTCTTCCTAACGCCCAGAATGTAGTTGCTCTGACAGCTGGTAGCTAAGCACACTGCCGGTACTTGCATGCCAATGTGCAATTAGCTTCTAACAATAACTCTCAGCATATAACGGGCCCTGTGTGTACTCATTGTAACGGAGCTATTTCAACTGTCTGGTGTATGTGTACACACAGGGCCCGGTTACATGCTGAGAGTCATTGATAGAAGCCAGTTCCACAGTGACATGCAAGTACCGGCAGTGTGGTTAGCTACCTGTAACAGAGCAACAGTAGGGCTGTTACAAAAGTACCTGTTCTACCAGTCAAGCCATACGACCCTAGGGTAATCACCGCTTGTTCTTCATCGATGGGTGAAGATAAGGGCAGATGACCCCTACCTCTATTGGTATGAAGGGTAGGGATCCTGGCGAGCAAGAAGTCTTATAAGTCAAGCTAGGCGACTGGACCAAAACTAGAGCAGAAGGACGAGCATGCCAAATACGGAAGGGTAACCCCAAACATAAGTTACCCCACCTTGGAAGTCAACCTTTGAGGTGCAATAACTTAGCAACCGATGCTCGGAAAATATGCTTTACCACGTCAGAAAGGATCCTGACGATGCTCCGGTCCATTTGGGGTGGTTGAATGAACGGATTGCGGAGTTGAGGAAATACTGCAAAATAAACACATTTTAGACCCCAAAAATAACCCCCGGAGCGTCGAACCGCTGGAATTCTCCTGTTTCGGTCCGGTCCACCTTTGAGGGGGAGTAGGAGTACGACCCAAGCTACTAAAAGCAAACCTCGCTTTACAAAACACCAAATCTGTTCTAAAACAAATTGAATAAGCAATTGCTATCTGGTCGGTTGTTTCCACTAGTTCTTGGGATCCCGACCAGCTCTTGGCAGAGATTGCGTGGTTTGACTCGGGCGGAAGTTCGTCTGAGGTGTGGCAGCAACTCCTCTCGCCCCTCACAGAAAAAAGTCGCGGTGTCCCCGGACTAGAGAGGAACAGACGGCCTAGAGAGGAAAAGCGGGAAAAAAGGGGCGGAACTTCGATAAAAGTACTCGGTTGCCCCCAGTTTGAACTCGGGGAGTCATGGAATCTTTACTAGCGAGGAGACCCCTTAAAGTTATTAAGTTTTTAGACTACAAATACGATCAAACA